TGTGAGTTGGGTGTTTGTATGCAGTTCACGAGGCTGATGTAACTGTACTTGGTACATGACAAATACCTGCCAGGGGAAAGGCGTATCTTGAAGGGATGGGTGGGATATGTAAGGTACTTTTCTCGCAAGTGTAGCTAGTTGTGATTTGTAGTAGTTCGCGGATTCGCATTAGATTACCCAGGTATGCGTGTTGTCTTGGCCAAGGAACAGGTCTTTATGATCATTTGTAATCTCTGCCGTAAGCATTGGTTATTCCTACGCTTTCGATCTCTCCTCATAAAGGCAGCCAAGATTGATGGTAGCCAACTTGATAGTTTTTCCGCTTGGGAAAGGGTTGGGTGACGTGACAGGGTGAGCTGCATTGCATTGCATTGCCGAGCCGGGCGTTGTGAGACTGGAGGCGGGTGGGCGGGGCGGGGGTTTGAAGAATTGTTGCTGACAAACGTGCTGTCAGGTAGGTGAAAAATGATGACTTGTCGAAGAGATGATGTTCTTGGTTTGTTGTGTTTGTCTCTGTTGCTCTAGGACTATGGCGCCCTTATCACGCTGTGGACACCTTAAAAGACCGGCGCTACAGAGTCATAACACACATCATGAGATGTCCCTTTGAATCACATGTTACAAGAGGGCAAAGTCTCACTCAATGATAGCCAGCAGGGCTTCAAAGACACCTAGATACTCGACAGGCTTTGGATACCTACCTCGGCTTCTAAAAGGTCAATTTATATCTGAAAGATGTTACGAGATGGGATGGTTATTCCACGTTTTCCTGTCTTGCAGTACCATACCCTAAATTCTGCCCAACGCATGCTTGCTAATGAGGAAGTTACAGATACTGTGAAATCTATCTCAAGAAAAATGCGACACGCTCTTATACATACCTAATCTTCAACAATATTTCAGTACACATGTCCTGGTCTGAAAGCTCATGGTCGAGTGGTCCTCCTCTTTCAAGTATCCTTGCTTTCGGCAGCACTTCCTAACAAAGATGACATATGATTGGGAACAATCCCGATAGAAACAAATCCAACCTTCTCAAACAATGTCTCATTGGTTTAGAGACTTTGTCTTGCATCATGGGTAGACAGGCAGTCAATGAACCCCCTCAACTCTTCCAAAAGACAAGTCGTATTGTCCACCAAACCTCCCCACTCAATATTCTCCCAGCTTCTTTAGTTGTCCAGCCCAACACCCTCCTGGGCCTTCCGAGCTTCCGTCCTACAACAAACAAACCATCGGCGACGATGAGCTTTTCATGGTCTTCGCCCCATTGTCCCCAGCTCTTTCCACCTAGGTAGGTAGGTAAGCTATACGCGCTCTTCCACCAGCAACACACATTCGACATGTTTCTGAACCGCGGTTCCCTACACGCAAGACCCATTCACAAATATAGGGCATCCTATGTGTCTTCCGCATGTGTAGTCGTCCTTTCGCCATGCACCTTGTCTGGTTCATGGCAGGGTTCGATTCGGTCACTGGGACGGGCCACGTTGACAGACCATTCGAGGGGATGGTGGCCCCCTCCCATGTTATTGCTTGGTTTTTAATCTAATAAAATGCCAGATAGCTCTCAGAGTAGCAAGTTGTAGATGGAAAAATAGTCTACGACAAGATATTGCTCAGTATGCATTTAAGAACTCCGACAAAAGTCTGCCTCGTATGCAGAATTCCCCTTCGCGTCTGATAATGCTTCCAAAAAAACAAAAAAAAACAAGATACCTTGGAAAATAAACAACGGATGATACTATCATCTTGGTGTTGAATCTGTCAAGGGGTGGTGAGGCGGACGTTGAGTGCGGCTGAACAGCTGACAGCCCTACGAGTGTCAGCGGGGTGGAGTGTCAGCGGCTGTTGACGGGCGGCCCGTGCACCCCCCGTCAACGGTGGAGTCGTGGGCCTTGTTCTGGGCCTCTTTCTGAGCCTTTTGCAAGCGCTTTCGCCTCCTCCCAATCTTTAGGGTTGAAGGTGCGGCGTTGAGAATAAAGAATTGGCATCCATTGTGTGGAGTGGCCTGTGATCAAACGGCAGAAATCATAGATTTGGATAAAGTAAAGCAATAAGACAGCACTGAGCAGTTCGTATCAGTTGCTCCATTGCCCAAATTCCGGGCCGCTGATAAGTTGGCAACCCCGAGCACTGTTGGGTCGAATGGGGGCTCTTCAATGAAAAGGCAGCATAAGTAACATAGATATCGCTGTTGAGAAAATGAACAGCGGAAGGGCAACTGTTGCCGAGTGGTAAAATAGTAGAACGTTACAGCGAACATGCCGGTCGCCTGAGTCGAGATGGCCTACTCCAGGGTTGGGGGTGGTGGCAGTTGGGTTGGGGGTGGGGCGGGCCAGGCCTGAATCAGCGACTAAAAAATGGTAAAAAAATGATCACGATATCGTGGAACCCTCCACCCTCCTCCTCCCTTTTTCCTCCCGCAGCCCATCCTCTTCGGTGTCCCAGCACACACACACACACACACACACGCACCGCCTTCGCCAACCTTCCCCTAGGGTGCTTCTCTTCTTCTTTCGCCGTCTCCCTCCAGTCTCCCCTCCCCCCCAATCGACGGTCGGTTTTTTATTTCTTTGCGTCCAGCTTCAGCTTCAGCTCCAGCCTCGACCCGACAACCCACTGTCGCCGTCGCGTGTTCGTGCTGCTGCCCTGCAACGCTCAACCTGAATCCCGAGTGCCGCCTCCCTGCCCGAGCCACTCGTCCCGCTTTTTTTTTTCTTCAGCCAAAGGCCCTGCCAAACTACTTGCTGCTTGCCAGACAGACCCTCTGCGCTCGCTCCACGGTCCAACCCAAGCCTCCTCGATCGCCTTTGTGACAAAGAAAAACAATCGCTTGCGTGACCCTCCTCGGCCCCTCTCTTGCGCATCAATCTTCCACCGGGAACATCATCCTCAGGAACGCCCAAAACCCGAAAGAAAACACCCCCCCCACCTTACCTACATCGCGACCATCTGTGACTTTGACTAGTCATGGCCAGTCCTTTGCAGTTTGCCTACCGAACCCAGACGGCCATCGGCGTCTTTGACGCTGCGCCTGTCTACGAAGCCCTCCCTGGGTTCGTCAAGCCCCAAGGGAACCTCCGGTGTTGTGTCTACTCGCCATGCGGCCGCTACTTTGCCTATGCTACCAACGACGGCATCTCGGTCGTCGACGCCTCGGTCGGCCACGTCTTGACCAGCCTCCCACTCCCCATGGTGTACGAGATCAGCTTCTCCCCAGGCGGTACCTACATGAGCACCTGGGAGCGCCCCGCCAAGGATGAGAATGGTGACGCTACCAAGAACGTCAAGGTCTGGCGCACCATCGAGGACGTCCCCGAAGGCCAGGAAAAGCAGCCGCTGGGCAGGTTTGTCTACAAGAACATGTCGGGCTGGAACCTGCAGTACACGGCCGATGAGAAGTTCTGCGCTCGTCTGGTCACCAATGAGGTCCAGTTCTACAACAGCAACGACCTCTCGGCGCCTTGGAACCGTCTCCGCGCCGAGGGCGTCACCGACTTTGCTATCGCGCCTGGGAAGAGCCAAAACGTGGCCGTCTTCATCCCCGAGCGCAAGGTATGTTCTTTCAACGCTCGATTCCTGACGCTCGAACAGTTTGCTAACCCTGACTTCTCCAGGGTCAACCGGCCGCCGTCAAGGTCTACAACGTCCCCCAGTTCAGCAGTCCGATCTCGCAAAAGACATTTTTCAAGGGCGACAAGGTCCAGCTCAAGTGGAACGCGCTGGGCACCAACCTGATTGTGCTGGCACAAACAGAGGTGGACAAGTCCAACAAGAGCTACTACGGAGAGACCAACATGTATCTCCTGAGTGCCAACGGCTCTTTTGATGCCAGGATCACCCTGGACAAGGAAGGCCCCATCCATGATGTGTCGTGGTCGCCCAACTCCAAGGAGTTTGGTGTCGTCTACGGCTACATGCCCGCCAAGACCACCATCTTCAACCACCGGGCTGTGCCTACCCACTCCTTCCCTCTGGGACCGCGCAACACCATCATCTTCTCGCCCACCGGGCGCTTTGCTCTCGTTGCCGGCTTTGGCAACTTGGCTGGCCAGATCGATGTGTACGATCTCGAGAAGGACAACCGCAAGGTCACGACGATTGAGAGTGGCAACCCCAGCGTCTGCCAATGGAGTCCCGACAGTCGCTACATCATGACGGCCACCACCTCGCCGCGCCTTCGCGTGGACAACGGCGTCAAGCTCTGGCACGTTGGCGGTGGCATCGTGTACAACGAGGATTTCAACGAGCTGTACAACGTCATGTGGCGTCCCGCGGCTGCGGATGCCCTCCCGGCCGGGGACCCGCTGCACCCTGTGCCGGCCCCCCACCCGTCTGCTCTGAAATATTTGGGCACGGTGAAGACGCCTTCCAAGCCCGTGGGCGCCTACCGTCCTCCTGGAGCCCGTGGCTCGTCCACCCCCCTCCACTTCAAGCGCGAGGACGAGGGCGGGGCTGCGCACACGGTTAGCAACGGTGTGCCCCAGATTGGGCCCAACGGTTTTGGTCGCCCCCGCAACCAAGTCCCCGGTGCCGAATCCACAAGGCCCGCCGGCATTCCCGGTGCCATCGCTGCTGATGGCGGCGATCTTTCCAAAGCGGCGGCCAAGAACAAGAAGAAGAGGAACAAGAAGGCCAAGGAGGGCGAGGGCAATGCCACGGATGCTCCCGGCTCCGAGGGTGGCCTTGCGCCTCCACCCCGAGAATATGGCAACGGCTCCCCTGCTGAGGGCCGCAGCCCCGAACGCCGTAACCAGGGTCAGGGCCACAGCTCCCAGCACCGCAGCCAGTCTCGCAACAACTTCAACGGTCGCAACCGTAGCAACACGCACCGTGCCCGCTCCCAGAGCCGACCCGGCCACTTTGGACAGTCGGCGCAGCAGCAGCAGCAGCAGCAGCAGCAGCCTCAAGGAGGTTCCCCTCTCGGCGGCGGTGACGGTGCTATGACGCCTGCCCAAAGCGCCAACGCCAAGAAGATTCGCAGCTTGCAGAAGAAGATCCGGGCCATCGAGGACCTGGAGATGAGACATGCTGGTGGTGAGAAACTGGAGGATACGCAGGTGAAGAAGATTGCTACCAAGCCATCTGTCATGAAGGAGCTTGAGGCGCTGGAGAGGGAGCAGTAGACGAGATTAGTGCTGAACCAGTCTCGGGGATATGAGGATGACGGAGGGGAAAAGCACGGCGTAGAGTTGTGTACTTTTTCCCCCTCGTGTCCAGCTTGTTTCTTTGCTACTTGCTTCTGGACAACAAATCGAGACTCGAGATTTACGAAACCTACCCTCCTGGATGTTCAACCTAGCGGTATCGAGCGAGGGTGTGGGGTTTGAGAAGGGGAGGGTGGGAGAAGAGTTATACTGATGAAAAATGAGAAAATATGCCTCTACGACGAAAGTTTGCTTGATCAAGCAGGCGAGTAGGAAGTAGCGGTAGGAATGAATTAATAAGTGCCAGCTTCTGATTTCGTGATCCTGTTTTTCTCGTCGATGTGTTGCCCCACAGGACATGCGACTGTGAAACCTTGTCCCGGATCTTTCGATCTCGAGCTCTCAGGTCAGGGGTGTTCCTGAGCAAAAGCCGGGAGGGAAAGGGCGGGCGGGGTAGACCAAGCCAAAGACGGGGAAGCGTTGTGCTTGTGCAAGCTACTCCCCGTTTCTTATTTTGATGTAGCAATGGAGGGAGGCTTACAAGGTCGGTGGGAGATGGCTTCTGGGTACCACCGGTAGACAAAACAAAACAAATGAGTACAGCAGACACAACAAAAAAGAAAAGGCCGGAAGGTAGCCAGTGTGACATGAAGGAAAATAAAGCAGAGGTTAGCAAAAAGCTCACCGGCCAAGCCGTGATGGAGTGGCCGGTTACGAAAGCCGTTTCGGGGTCAAACTGGAGGTACAAGAGCAGAGGAGGAGTTATCTAGCCACATAGCACAATGGAACAGGCCGTCTTCTACTTTGACACCATCCGGATGTCCGGTCCCTCCTCAGCATGCTCCTTCTCCGTCTTTGAACGTTGCTCCTCTAGTTGCAACGCCTTCTCACCAACAGCCGGCTTCTCAATACCGACCGTCGTCTCACGATGGCTATCCATCACATCCTTCTTCCAGATATTGACGTACACCGGATACCTATCATCAACATCAGCCAGTCTCCTTGACACCCTCCTTCCAGGAAGAACTTACACAAAAGCCAAAATATACCCCATCATTGGGATCGCCATCGCAGTATGCGCATCCCTCGCGCTCACCACCGCCCCCATCATGGGCGGAAAGACCATGCCCCCCGAAATAGCAGCCACAAGCAACGATCCCCCCATCTTGGTGTGTCTCCCCAACCCTCTCAGCCCGAGAGTGAATATGGTTGCAAAACAGCAAGACTCGAAACACAAAACGAGCATCAACATCGCGATTGATGTCGCTCCGGCGGTGTTCATCGCCGCCGTGACAAAGACGAAGCATAGTCCGAGATAAGCAGCAAGCATATACCTCGGCTTGAACGCAGGAATAGTCAGCAACCCGCCAGCCACGAACCGGTTGAAGGCGTACAGTCCTTGGCCCACAGCCAGGAGGTCAGAAGAAGTAGCCCTATCCCGACCGGCTTCCTCACAAAAGTTGATAAAGTAGTTCTGTCCTCTGTCAGCCACTTTCCCCTTTCTTGCGGTCAGAAAAACTCACCGCAACAGCGACCTGCGCCCCGACATAACAGAACTGGCTCCAGACGGCAAGGAAGAGGTTGTACTGTCTCCTGAAAGGTCCCACCTCTCTCGGTCCGTCAATCTGACTCTCCTGCAACCCCATATCCGCATCCGTCACCTCCACCATGGGCACCACCCAAAACAACACGACCAACAACACGTCAAACCCCGCCACCCCGAGATAGACCCATTGAACATTCTTCAGCCCCTCCCCCCCCTGTTCTTCGAGTCCCTTTCCGAAAAACACCCTTGACGCCAGCAACGGCGCGACGAAGGAGCCAACCCCTTGAACTGCTTGCGCCAGGTTGAGGCGGATCTCCGAGTATCGCGGGGGACCGCAGATGGAAAGAAAGGGATCGGCGGCCGTCTCCAAGGTGGCGAGCCCAGCCCCGACAACGAACATGCTGCCGCAGAAGCCGCCAAAGGAGGAGTAGGCACCCGAGGGCCAGAAGAGGAGGCAGCCGATGGAGAAGATTGCCAGGCCGGTCATGAAGGTGACGCGGAAGCCGTAGGAGCGGAGGATGAAGGAGGAGAGGGTGGGGGGGAGAAGGAAGTAGGCTCCGAAGTAGGAAGTGGACAGGAGGGCGGAGAGGGTGGGCGTGATGGAGAGGTGGTGCTGGAAGTGGGAGTTTAGGACGTCGAGGAGGCCGTAGGCGAAGCCCCAGAGGAAGAACAGGGTCGTGACGAGCAGGTTGGGGAGGAGGGATTGTCGAAGGGTGAGGTGGGCGGCGGAAGTGATGGTGTCATCTCTGATGGTGACTTTGCGGGACCAGGGGCGTCCCATTTTGCTCCGCTCGTGATGATGCATGGTGATGCTGCCGTGGATGACTTTTGATCACATCACAGAGAACAATCCCCGACAAGAGCGAAACAAAAATTGCGGGGAGGGACGGACGGACGATATAAGACTGCCTTGACCTCCTCACCCGTCACTTCCATATCCTAACCCCTCATCCCATACCTACCTGCATTCTACCCGGCCAGCCGGATGAACCCTATCGACACAAGAACCACCGTTGTCACTGTCGTGTAACAATCAAGGTAGGCAAGGTAGGTAGGGATGCAGAAGGTTCGTCGTCGATCCCTATCCCATTCGGCAGAAAGCCCACCGTTTGGGAAAGCTCGTGTGTGGACGGAAAAACAGAACTACCTAGAATGTCACACTGCCGGCATAAACAACGTGGTGTGATATGGCCCGAGCCGTCTTATCACTACTCGGCTACAGATTAGCCGCTTTCTTTTTTTTTCTTTTCTTTTTCTTTCTTTTTTTCTTCTTTTTTTCTAGTCTTGAAAAGATCTATCAAGTCCAGCATTTTTGGCCGCGTGTGATGGTGTTGTTTCTGTAAACAATGGATGATAAATGGTGCAAAGTATGTAATCATCATCTGGTTTGATGAGCGGTCTAGGCAGTGAAGCCTCGAAAGGTTAAGTCGAGGTAAACTTTTGAGTGTTGAGGATGAACTACCTAGGTACTGAAGCACTTTTGCAGAGCTCAAAGCCGTTGGTCTGGAAGGTGATGGAGCAAAAAGGGGGTGGAGTAGACGGGGGGAGAGGGGAAGAAAAAAAGAGGAAAAAAAAAGTGAAAAAAAAAAAGAACAAAAAAAGAAGAAGGAAAGAAGAAAAAAAGAAGAAAAGAAAGAAAAAAAGAAAAGAGAAAAGAAAAAAAGAAAAGAAAAAAAGAAGAAAAAAGCTAAAAGAAAATTAGAGATGCATCAGCCGTGAATCGAACACGGGGCCCATCGATGGCAACGATGGATTTTACCACTAAACCACTGATGCTGCTTCCTGATTCGATGGGTGTTGTGGTGGGAATTAGGGTATATGTGGCAAAGATGTTTTTGCAACGACAGGAGCAAATCTTAAAAGAGGAGTGTGTTGACGTCTTAGGAGGTTCGTAATTATATCAGACAGACAATACAACAGTAGCTCCGTTTGGAATTGATATCTCCGATTTACATCTTCCCCTTGATATCCTCAAACAACGCCTTGAGCTTATCCATATCAGTCGCCTGCATCGGCCACCCAACACCCAGCCCCTCCTTCTCGTTCGGCTTGGGGATCATGTGGAAGTGCACATGCCCGACCTCCTGATGAGCCAGCTTGCCGTTGTTTTGCAGCAGGTTCCAGTCCTTGGCGCCGGTGGCGGCAGCGAGCCTTTTGACGACGGGCAAGATCTCGCCGAGCTGGTCGTCGGGGATGTCGGTGAGCTTCTCGCCGTGGTGCTTGGGGATGACGAGGGCGTGGCCTTTAGATAGGGGGTTGATGTCGAGGAAGGCGAGGGTTTTGTCTGATTCGAAGAGTTTGAAGCAGGGGATTTCACCTGTGAGCGGGGGTTAGTGAGGGGTTGTGAGAAAGGGGATTGAGGAGGGGAGGTTGAGCACCCTTGATGATCTTGCAGAAGATGCAGGCGGCGGACATTTTGGTTGACATTTGCCAACTGAGAAGTTTCAGGTGAGATGAGACGAAGTTGTGAGGGTGTGTGAGTGAGAGAGCGGGGGAAGAGTGACGTAGCTCTCTCCCCTGGCTAAGGTGAGGTTCGAGTTGAGGCTTGGCGGGAAGCTGAGCTAAGGAGCTAAGCTGTTTTGGGCAAAAGGGAGACTTGTAGCGCTTCGGAAGATATATCGAATTACAGATATAAAGACGCCTTGATTTCCAGGTTGCTTGACAGGTTCCCTCATTAGGTAGTCAAGCCCAAAAGACCAAGACCCTGTTACACATCTTCTGCGGCGCAGCCCAAAACCCGGGCGCAGCAGCAAAAGACGAGACAGTTACCCCGCAAACTGCCCACTCTCAGCAGCCCCGCGGATCACGAAGCTGTGTTTGGACCCCGCCATCCAGCCATCACTGCCGCCTTGCCGCGCAAACTCATACCTGATCTACATTTCTTATTACACCTGCCCAGTCGCAACCTGTGTCGCAAACCTCCTTTCCTCTCCCCAGCTCCATCACCAACCTACTGCATCTCCTACACTGCCCGACAGAGTACCCTCTCCAACATGCCCCGCCACACCTTCCAACCAACCCCCCTCTTCGGCGGCGCCCTCACAGTCGACCTCCCCACTAACTTCGCCGACGTCTCCAAGCTCCGCCAAGTCCCCGACAACCAAGAAGTCTACATCGACAAAGACGGCTTCACCTCCATCATAGTCGACATCACCGAGCGCGTCTCCTCCTCGTCCTCGTCCTCGTCCGACGACCCCCTCGAGCGGGACGCCAAAGCCCTGACCACCCACCTCGAGGAGCTCGTCGGCGTCGAGGACGCGGCCGAGACGGTTCAGGTGTGGAATACAACCGAGACTCAGATCAGCCACCTCTCGTATGTTTTCCTCCTCCCTCCCCCTTCCCACCAAATACTGACCGTGGGGGGCGTAACAGGGAAGATATCCCCGCTTACACCTTGATCGCGACGCAAACACACAGGCAGCGTGAGGGAGAGAGACAGGGCGCTCCCGACTTTACCGCGTTGATCCTGACGCTGATCAGGCTGGAGAAGGAGCAGACGGACATCCTCGTGACGATCAATGTGCCGCACATCAAGGGGGAGTATGACGAGGAGGAGATTGACCTGGCGATGGGGAAGCAGGGCGAGCTGATTGGGGATGCGGTCGAGTATGCGGCGAGGATTTGGGAGAGTTTTGATGTGAAGGATTGGGGGCTGTTTAACGAGATTTAGCGAGGAGGGGGACGGGAGCTTGGTGTCAAGTGAGATTTATAGGGATGTGTGATACCCGGCTGTTGGCGGTGGGAAGTGTTTAGATATGGTATATAGGTTGGGTTACCTGGACGGGTTGGGTCGGTCTTGCTGTTGGAAAGGTAAATGGGAATGGGGGTATGTTTGTTAAAGGGACATCTTTGACGAAGTCACGAAGTGTTTTATATTGCCTTTTGAATGCATACCATGAATGAAGCGCAGTCTGCTTTTCTTGTTCGAAAGGCCATCTTTGATCAATGTCACGAACAAGGTTGTACACATGTTCGAAATGCAGTTAGTTGATTGATTCACTTAGCTTCTTTAATCTGCTTTCTTGTATGCAGCCTACAATGTTTTATACAGGGGTATCTTCTTAGTTTTCTTATACATATTCCCATCACCTCATCACGTCAAATCCACCACCTCAATCTCCTTCTTCCCCCCTCTCACCGGCAACTTCACCTCTGGCGTCTCCTCCTTTGAACCCGCCACCATCACCACCACCCCCCCATTCCTCTCCTTCTCAGCCTTCCACCTCTCCGCCACAACCTTCATCACATCCTTCTGCTGTATCCCCGGCTGCTCCGCCTTGACCCTCTTCATCTCCACCTTCATAAAAATCTGGTACGCGCTCTGCTTCTTTTCTTGACCACCACCACCACCACCACCACCGTCACCAGCCTTCCCACCCCCTCCCCTTGGCGTCGGCTTAACCTGCACCAGCACCCCCTTACAAACCCCACACCTATGCCTCCCCACATCGATACTCTTCGAATGCCTCTTATACCCCATCCCACACCCCCCACACTCCCACACATACCTAAACTCAATTTCATAAGTATGCTTCGTCGTAACCTCGATCCCATACTCCTTCCCAAACACCCCCGTCACCTTCTTCCCCCAAGCCTTGAACTCCTTCCCGTGAGGGTTGGTGGTGATGCCACTAATCATGAAATTGCAGAGATGGCAAAACTCGTGCGCGAGCACATTGTACAACCTGTGAGGCGTGGTGATGACCTTGGTCGACAACTCGATAGAGCAATGGTGCCGGAATACAGGAGGGGAATTCGGCGGGCGGAAGGTTTCCCTTTTCCAGTTTGCCCGCCCGGCCGTGGTGGCTAGGGTGCGGGACCAGATGATTTTTATGCCGCCTGTCGAGGCGGACAGGGTGGAGAGTTGGGAGGAGGTGATGCGGGTGTCGAGGAGGGAGAGGAAGGTCTCTGCGAGGGAGAGGCGGTTGGTTTCGAATTCTTTGAGGGATTGGCGTTCTGAGGCGGTTTTTTTGGCGGGGGAGGAGGAGGAGAAGGAGGAGGAGGGTGGTTTGCTGGTTGTGGTTGGGAGAGGAGGACGAGGAGGAGGAGGAGGGGGTGGTGGTGGTTTGGAAGGGAAAAGTTGTTTTGCTGGGGAGTGCTGGTCGTTCCAGTCTTCGACGAATTCTTGGGACCAGAACATGTCTGTTGATGGTCGGTGGGGGGTGTTGGGGATGCGAGGGAGTTTGGTGGGTGATACTAGGCCTTTTGGACGGGGAGCAGGGGCGGGTCTGGGTGGTGTTGATGGCGGTGAAGATCCGGGTTCCTCGGTGGGGGTCGAAATTGTCAATGGCATTGATTGTGGTGGTGGGAGGGGGATGTTGTCCAGGCGAAGTCGCAAAAACCTATCTTCTAGGTTTTTTGCCTTGGCTTTTTTTGATTGGGAAGAGTTAACTGATGAGTTGGAGTTTCGTGCTGGCTTTGCTCTTCCTTGCGACTCCGCAGCTGGAGCTTTCCTCGGCGGGGGACCAAGGTCAAATTCACTGTCGTCGTCCGAACCCTGCTCCGTGTAGCTCCCCCCCTCGTCGTCGTTGTCGCTGTCGCTGTCATCTTGCGGGTCCTCCTCTGACTCACATGAATGAAACGTGTCGTCGAACATGGAAACGTCCTCAAGAATGCTCACTTCCTCCCTGGCAGAGACATATTCCTGCTCCTCCTCTGGTTTTGACTCCAGCGACTCTTTCAATGAATACCCCTTGGTCTTTCTAGTCCTGAGTTCAACCCTCGTCCGTCTCGGCTCCTCTTCCTCTTCTTGCTCGTCCTCAAACGACTCCTTCACCCTTGCCGCCTTAGTCTTCCCATTTCTCCCCTCAACCCCCTTCCTCGGCTGCACCTCATCCTCATTCACCACCGCCTTCATCCCCCTCCCCTTCCCCCTCCCCTTCCCCCGTCCCTCCTCACCCCCTCCGGCGTCCAAGCCCTCAGCAAACTACTACTCACCCCCCGGACAGGCGCCAACCTCCTCCTCCTCACCGTCGCCGGTGGTAGCACCTCCTTCTTTTCCTTGCTATTTTTCATCCCAGCAACAACCTCACCCTTCTTCCTAGTAGTACCCAACGCACTCGGAGAAGGAAACTCCTCCTCCTCATCCTCATCCTCATCCTCATCATCAACATCCTCATCCTCATCATCATCATCACTATCCTCCTCACCACTGCTCTTTCCCTTGTCGCTCTTTTCCTGCTCCGTGTCGTCTTCGTGATCATCGCTCCAGTGCATCACCCTCCTCCTCCTCCCGCTCCCAGCTAGTCGCGCCATTTCTGCCTTATCTCCCGCTTCAAAATGGGACGTAGAAAGGGAAACAAAATAAAAACAATGGAGCACCGTTCGAGATAAGGAAGGTGAGATTGATTTGTGTGTGCGTGTGTGTGTGTGTGTGTGTGAGTCGTTTAAGAAAAAAGATGCAGGTTTCGGCGCTTTGGGATTTGGGGAAGGAAGAAAAGAGAGCTGGTTGTCAGGAGCAACCGCTGCTGCCCGACTGAGTGGATGGGATGAAAGATGGGACGTGCATGATGCCCGCCCGCCACCGCAAGTGGATTTTTGCGGAGGGTTTGAGTTTGCTTCATTAGGCATTAGGGTGGTATGTTTTTATTCTTTTTATTCTTTTTTTTCTCTTTTTTCTTTTTTCTTCTTTTTTTTTTCTTCCCTTTTTTTTGGGGGGGGGGGGGGTGGAACGTTTCATTTTATTGTATTATGAAGAGTACAAATTTTTGTGAAGGGTTACAATCTCTGGATTGAAGGTTTATTGCCTATGGTAAGGGGGAATGACAACTGCTTGTACAGGCCCTTTTGATGCAAAAACTTCCCAGATCCAATATCCCAGGAAAACAAAGATGGAATCGCTGGCTTGAAACTAACGACTCCCTCCTATCCGAACAAACCTTACGTTATCAAAGACAGACCCGAATCGCCGATAACGGTCCAGCTAGGTGATCGGGAACAGCCCGTGGGGGTGTGTTGTTCCAGAAGTTGAGTCTTCAGCACACAGCAAGCCGTTTTTTCGCTCATTGGCCAACATCAATAGAAGAAGATCGCCATGTGGTTTTTATTTATTCAATTTTTTTCGCCTCGCGGGCCGCGCGGTTTCCACATCACCACATACACTGTGTTGTAACAAACCTGCTGTAGAAAGAGCAGCAGGTGGCGTGTGACACTGCTGATCTGCTCTATATGGTTATCTATCTGTCACTCAGACTACTGCACTGAGGCGCTGCAAATCTGTATGAGGAGTTATCGTGGGCGTGCAGGTTAGGGTCTAACGCTGTCTCACATTTGTTCTCTTCACGAGGAAGAAGAAAAAGACTGGCGTGTTGGGTGGTGGGCTGGGGCTGTATTACGGTGTTTGTAACCTCCTGGCAGATGTATTCGAACGGTTGCAGCAAAAAAGCAGCACAGCGTGACTGATATGGGCATTCCTCGCCTCATCGGGCTTCTTACCAGATCCGTCCTCACCAGACTCACAAGTAACGCAGCTACCAGCGCAGTGGTTCAGAGGTTGAATGCCCGGCTCGGGGCCAGACTTGTCTTGAGCAATGTCCGAGCAGTACACAGTATTTGACGACGATCACCCAAGTCACACCACGCAAGCGGTTCTGTCACACTGCTGATCTCGAAGGTGGTCTTCAACATGGGATGACGGGCGGCCGGTCATATTGGCCGGTCAGTCCAGTGGTTTCCCGTCCTGGTCTCGGTCCGGGTAAAAAAGCAAAGGAAGAAACGGATCTCATGCGGTGAGCTGGCTCATTTTTTTTTAATTTTTTTGCCAAATTCTTGATTTTGTTGATATCTATCTTTCCGGTAAGTTTATCATGCATGGCCAGCACAGCAGCAAACGTCCCTTTCGGAGGTTGCTAGTGTGCCAAGAACGATTGACCTGCCACTCGGAATTCGAGAAAAAGACCAATGATCCACAGAGGAGTCGATTGATCGAAGTGTGCAGACAGAGAGAAATAAATATTTTCGGTGAAGTGTGTTTGCTGTTTCAGACAGGTAAGTGTAGGTGGGAGAAATCACATTGCAACCTTCGTCATGGGGCAGTGAGGGGGACAATTGGAGGTGTGAATCTCGCATTCTGGTTGCCTCGTTCCTTGCAGATTTGAACAAAAATATGGTGGGTGTTGGTCGTTTGGATATATCGATTAATTACCGGTCATCCGGCAGGTGAACCGCGCAACGTCAGACTTGTTATTTTCTCTTTCGGGGGGTATTGCCGCACCCCTCTTTTGATGCTGGAAATAGATCACGTTAGACAGGAACCGTTTTCCTTGATAAAGGGGGTGGGGGAAAGAGCTTCTGAAAGGGGAAGAGGCACAGATCTTGTGCAAAAGCACCTCGACGGCGTCAACTTGTCAAAAAGTCCTGGCGCACTGTGTTCGAAAAAACCGGGCCTAAACCTGACAAAGAGCCCCTGTCGGGTGTGCCGTACAAAATATTGAAGCGGCTCCAGCCCGAATCCATGGCGGCTCCGCCAAAAAAGGAAGACCTTGGAAGAAACTGCAGCGAGCCTCCACCACGATTTCAGCTGCTTCGGGAATTGCGGCGAGATAAAACTGTGAGACACGGCGAGTGAGAGCGTGAGGACTTTGTCATCGAAAGGTGTTTGCCACTGGCCCAGTCCGGCACGTCGTGGATCGATTATGCTCGTGTCCAGAGGGCTTTAGCTGCATTGGACCACTGACAAGAAACACAGCCCAGTTGTCGGTTCCCTCGAATCCTCGAGATGCTACGTGATGTCGTGGTCGAGAGATCAGGGGATTCTTTTGCAGTAGTATCCAGCATCTGTGGCCAGCATATGCCGTCCTGTCGCCCGAGTCGCTACTAGTCCGGCCATCTGGCTTTTGACCAGTTTTGACAGTTTGCCAATGGGATGTCTCCGATAAGCTGAGTTGTTGTATGGAGAGAGGGTCAAATAGTGGGATAGATTCCTTGTTTTTTTCCTTTCTCAAAGAGGAATCCATTCTGAAGGTCGTCGTCATCGATGTGCTTCTCGAAGACCAAGCTTTGGCGTTGATGTGCCTTGGCCCGCCCTGCCAGGTGTTCCCTGTCGAAACCTTGGTGGGAACGGAATCTTTTCTCAGGGGCAGCGATTGGAGGGCCAATTGATTTTGGGGGTGGGGCGACAGTTGGAAGCTGGGTGGCGGAGCCGTGGATTCTGATACGGTGCAATTTCGAGTCGCCAGCCCGCGCCAGTCCGGCAGCGAAGCCGGCGGTATCCCGAACTGGAGTCTCCCATTGGTCAGAATCTGCCTTTGTAAATCGAGATGGTGGCGCGACGAAATGCAAGTCTTCAGGAGTTGGGGCTGCAATTTGCAGACGCACCGGCGACTTCGCTGCAGCTGCCAACTTGCGTTCCCTGTTGATGTGAGAGTGAGGGAGAGGGAGAGGGAGAGGGAGAGGGAGAGGGAGAGAGGGGGATAGAGAGAATGAGAGAGGGAGATGGAGAGAATGAGAGAAAGAGAGAAGTGTGTTTTATGTCTGAGGCTGTGACTTGTATTCGGCAGCGAAACAAGCATCAGCAGCTTCGTCTGAAATCCGGGGAAAACAGAATGTGAGGCAGAGAGGCATCCGGCGTGAAAGCAAGCGCGTGCCTGACAAATGGGAGCAGCACAGTGCTTCCGCTGGCAGGTCGACACGGTGCCCTCCCTCGTCCGTCTTCCCCTGGCAGATGCTTCCACCCCTGGTGTCTTTCCGAGCCCGAGACGAAACGCACCGCCCATCCCTGCTCCCCTGCTCAGCGAGTGGCCGAATGAATGCCTCCTTTTTCCTGCCCATTTCCCTGCTTCTTTCCCTTCCCAAGAGTCCAAGGCCAACACTAGCCAAACATCCTTCCGTGGCCAGTGCCTCCTCTTTTTTTTCTTCTCTTTCTTTCCTCTCCTCTCTTTTCTCTCTCTCGACGCTCGCTCGCTCACTTGCTGCTTCCGACACCTCTACCGTCTCTCGTTCAGGTAGTAGAAAGTCGCCAGTCGCCCGCCGTCGCCCGCCGTCGCCCGCCGCCCGTCGCCCCGTGTAGGAACCGTTGCAATCCAGCGGTCGCCTGCCTTTTGAGCTGCGTGCCGGCATTCGAGACACGACGCCGTCTGGATCCGTCGCGCCGAAACGACCCTCAAGGACGACACATTACACTACGGTCGCTGAAGCATATCCAATCAATCAATCAACCAATCCATCCATAATCTTTTTGATTCCTTTCCAGCAATCAATCAAAGAAAACCCAGTTTCGCTGAAAAGGGGGGGTGACCCACGCACGAATTATTAGCGGCCTGTTTTCTTGCATACCGCCACCATCCCCAAGCCAACCTCCCTCTTCTCTGCGCCCCACAGCGCCGCCAATCGCTCACCCTCGTTGGTCGGATTCTGCTCCTGTTGTGCATCAACAATCAACAACACGCACGTTATCCGGCACCTTTCTCTGCTCTTCAGCGCCCAACCCAAACCCAAAAATCATAGCTTGTCGAGTTTTTGCTCCTCTTGCGGTGGCCGGCCACTTCTTGGACATTTTGACACGACAAGACTCCCATTTTCGGGTCGACAACGCCACACCCACTTCCCCGGCAACTGCTCCATGAGCCTCTGATACGGTGAGTTTTGCACCCGCAACGCCTGGTGGAAATGTTGATTTGGACCCTTCGGCTTTTCGAATCCGGACACGATCGTGACAGTTTTGGCTAATTGCCAGCAGACGACTTTGTTGCCCAACATGTCGGGATATCCCCAAGGCCAAGGAGGCCAGGGCCAGGGCCAGGGCCAAGGCGGCTACAACGGCCGCGATGAGTACGATGACGGCTACGGTCAAGGCGGTCACGGAGGCCAGCACGGCAATGACGCCTACTATCAAGACGACCAACAGTACTATGACAACCAGCCAAATAGCGGTCACGCCCAGGGCCGCGGCAATCAGCAAGGCGATGGCTACTATGACGAATCGTAAGTTCTGGCTCTTGATGTGAAACGGATAGAATGGGCGGGCAGAGTTGACTTTGATGGCCCAGTGGTTACTACAACGCCGACCCCAACAACCCGTACCAGCAAGATGGCGGCTACTACGACAACAACGACCAGTACCAGGACGATTACTACAACAACGGCCAGAGAGGCAACAATGGCTACTACGATCAAGGGTACGGTCAAGGTGGCTACGGGGGCAATGGTCAGGGTCCAAGGCAGGGCTCCGAAGACGATTCGGAGACCTTCAGCGACTTCACGATGAGGTCCGACATGGCCAGAGCAGCCGACATGGACTACTATGGACGCGGTGATGAGCAGTACAACAACGGCTACAACGATGAGGGAGGCAACCGCGGATACCGCCCACCATCGTCGCAGATCTCCTATGGTGGCAACCGCTCCTCCGGCGCCTCTACGCCCAACTACGGAATGGACTACAGCAATGTCCTGCCCGCCGGTCAGCGCTCCAGGGAACCCTATCCCGCCTGGACTTCGGATGCCCAGATTCCCCTCTCCAAGGAGGAGGTGGAGGACATCTTTTTGGACTTGACGGCGAAATTCGGTTTCCAGCGCGACAGCATGCGCAACATGTACGACCACTTGATGACACTTCTGGATTCGCGCGCGTCCCGCATGACGCCCAACCAGGCCCTGCTGTCTCTCCATGCCGATTACATTGGTGGCGACAACGCCAACTACCGCAAGTGGTACTTTGCTGCCCATCTTGACCTGGACGACGCCGTCGGTTTCGCCAACATGAAGGGCAAGAAGGCCAAGAAGAAGGCGAAGAAGGGCAAGGGCCCGGGTCCCGAAAACGAGGCCGAGGCTTTGGAAGATCTCGAGGGCGATGACTCGTTGGAGGCGGCCGAGTACCGCTGGAAGACGAGAATGAACCGCATGTCGCAGCACGATCGGGTGAGGCAGCTCGCTCTGTTCTTGCTCTGCTGGGGCGAGGCCAACCAGGTCCGCTTCATGGCGGAATGTCTCTGCTTCATCTTCAAGTGCGCCGACGATTATCTCAACTCGCCCGCCTGCCAAAACCTTGTTGAGCCGGTGGAGGAGTTCACCTTCCTGAACAACGTGATCACGCCTCTGTATCAGTACTGCAGAGACCAGGGCTACGAAATTTCCAACGGTGTCTATGTCCGTCGCGAGCGCGACCATGAGCAGATCATCGGCTACGATGATTGCAACCAGCTCTTCTGGTATCCCGAGGGCATTGAGCGCATCGTGCTCGAGGACAAGACCAAGCTCGTCGACGTTCCTCCCGCGGAACGTTACCTCAAGCTCAAGGATGTCAACTGGAAGAAGTGCTTCTTCAAGACCTACAAGGAAACGCGTTCCTGGTTCCATCTTCTCGTCAACTTCAACCGCATCTGGATTATTCACCTGACCATGTTCTGGTTCTACACGGCCTACAACTCCCCCACACTCATCACCGTCAAGTACGAACAAGAAGTCAACCAGTGGCCCGAGAAGGCTGCCCATTGGTCCATCGTCGGGTTCGGTGGTGCCATCGCTTCCGGTGTCCAAGTGGCCGCCACCATCACGGAATGGGCCTACGTTCCAAGGAAGTGGGCGGGCGCGCAGCACTTGACCAAAAAGTTGATGTTCCTCATTCTGGTCTTCATCCTCAACGTCGCTCCCGGCGTTTACGTCTTCATGCCCGAGAAGGACGACACGGCCTATATCGAGAAGCAGCGCACTACTCTCGCGCTGGCCCTCGGTATCGCCCACTTCTTCATTGCTCTCATCACGTTCATCTTCTTCTCCATCATGCCGCTCGGTGGTCTGTTTGGAAGCTACCTGACCAAGAACTCGAGGCGGTACGTGGCCAGTCAGACCTTTACTGCCAGCTGGCCGCGTCTCAAGGGCAAGGCCATCGCCATGTCTTACGGCCTCTGGCTTATCGTGTTTGGCGCCAAGTTTGGAGAGTCTTATGCCTACCTCACCCTCTCCATCAAGGACCCTATTCGGTATCTGCACATCATGGACACGTCGTCCTGCATGGGTGACTTTTTCCTGAGCAACATGATCTGCCAACATCAGCCCAAGATCACGCTCGGACTTTTGCTCATCACGGATTTGATCTTCTTCTTCCTCGACACGTACCTGTGGTATGTGCTCTTGAACACGGTATTCTCGATCGCCCGGTCCTTCTACCTCGGTTCTTCCATCTGGACCCCCTGGAGAAACATCTTCTCTCGTCTCCCGAAGCGTATCTACTCCAAGGTCCTGGCAACCACCGACATGGAGATCAAGTACAAGCCCAAGGTCCTGATTTCTCAGATTTGGAATGCCATCATCATTTCCATGTATCGCGAGCACCTCCTGGCCATTGACCATGTCCAGAAGCTCCTCTACCACCAGGTTCCTTCGGAGCAGGAGGGCAAGAGGACGCTGCGTGCTCCCACCTTCTTCGTCTCGCAGGAAGATCACTCTTTCAAGACCGAGTTCTTCCCCGCCTACAGCGAGGCAGAGCGCAGAATCTCCTTCTTCGCCCAGTCGCTCTCGACGCCCATCCCTGAGCCCTTGCCCGTTGACAACATGCCCACCTTCACCGTCATGATTCCTCACTACAGCGAAAAGATTCTCCTCTCCCTGAGAGAAATCATTCGTGAAGACGAGCCTTACTCTCGTGTCACCCTTCTCGAGTACCTCAAGCAGCTTCACCCTCACGAGTGGGACTGCTTCGTCAAGGACACCAAGATTCTGGCCGATGAGACCTCGCAGTTCAACGGCGAGGATGAGAAGACGGAAGGCAAGGACACGGCCAAGAGCAAGATTGATGATCTTCCCTTCTACTGCATTGGTTTCAAGTCGTCGGCCCCCGAATACACGCTCCGCACACGTATTTGGGCCTCGCTCCGTTTCCAGACCCTGTACCGTACTGTCTCCGGCTTCATGAACTACGCCCGCGCCATCAAGCTGCTCTATCGTGTCGAGAACCCGGAGGTTGTCCAGATGTTTGGCGGCAACTCGGACAAGCTGGAGCGCGAGCTTGAGCGCATGGCCCGTCGCAAGTTCAAGCTCTGCATCTCCATGCAGCGATTCGCCAAGTTCAAGAAGGAAGAGATGGAAAATGCCGAGTTCTTGCTCCGTGCCTACCCCGACCTCCAGATTGCCTACCTCGACGAGGAGCCTCCCCTTAACGAGGGCGAGGAGCCCCGCCTCTACTCTGCCCTGATTGATGGCCACTCTGAGATCATGGAGAACGGTCAGCGTCGCCCCAAGTTCCGCATTCAGCTCTCTGGCAACCCCATTCTTGGCGACGGCAAATCCGACAACCAGAACCACGCCATCATCTTCTACCGCGGCGAGTACATCCAGCTCATCGACGCCAACCAGGACAACTACCTCGAGGAGTGCCTCAAGATCCGTAGCGTTCTTGCCGAGTTCGAGGAGATGAAGACGGACAACGTTTCCCCCTACACTCCCGGTGTCAAGAACGCGGTCCACACTCCTGTTGCCATCTTGGGTGCTCGTGAATACATCTTCTCGGAGAACATTGGGATCCTTGGTGACGTTGCTGCCGGGAAGGAGCAGACGTTCGGCACCCTCTTTGCCAGAACACTGGCCGAGATCGGTGGCAAGCTTCATTACGGTCATCCCGACTTCCTCAACGGCATCTTCATGACGACTCGCGGCGGTGTGTCCAAGGCTCAAAAGGGCCTGCACTTGAACGAAGACATTTACGCCGGCATGAACGCCCTGCTGCGTGGTGGCCGCATCAAGCACTGCGAGTACTACCAGTGCGGCAAGGGTCGTGATTTGGGTTTCGGCTCCATTCTCAACTTCACGACCAAGATCGGAACGGGCATGGGTGAGCAGTTCTTGTCCCGCGAGTACTACTACCTCGGAACCCAGCTGCCGTTGGATCGCTTCTTGTCCTTCTACTACGCCCATCCTGGTTTCCACGTCAACAACATGTTCATCATGCTTTCGGTCCAGCTTTTCATGATCTGCCTCCTGCAGATCGGTGCCCTTCGAAAGGAGACTGTCCGCTGCGACTACAACCGCGACGTTCCCATCACGGATCCTCTGTTGCCCACGGGCTGTGCCAACACGGACGCGCTGGTCGACTGGGTCTACCGCAGTATTCTGTCGATTTTCTTCGTCTTCTTCCTCTCGTTCGTGCCCCTGTTTGTTCAGGAGATGATGGAACGCGGTGTCCTGCGCGCCGCCACGCGCTTCGCCAAGCACATCGGCTCCCTCTCGCCCTTCTTTGAAGTGTTTGTCTGCCAGATCTACGCCAACTCTGTGCAGATGGATGTCACTTTCGGAGGTGCTCGCTACATCGGTACCGGTCGCGGTTTCGCAACGGCTCGCATCCCCTTCGGTGTGCTCTACTCGCGCTTCGCCGGTCCTTCGATCTATTTCGGAGCCCGTCTGCTGATGATGTTGTTGTTCGCCACCATCACCGTCTGGACCCCCGCCATCATTTACTTCTGGATTTCGCTGCTGGCCTTGGTCATCTCCCCCTTCCTGTACAACCCCCACCAGTTCGCCTGGACCGATTTCTTCATCGATTACCGCGACTACCTCCGCTGGCTGTCTCGTGGCAACTCGCGCTCGCACGCCTCGTCTTGGATTTCGTTCTGCCGCCTGTCCAGAACAAGAACCACGGGTTACAAGCGCAAGGTCATCGGCGACCCATCTGCCAAGATGTCGGGAGATGTCCCTCGTGCTGCCTTCACCAACATGATGTGGGCCGAGATCTTCACACCTTTCTGCCTGGTTCTTGTTACCCTCATCCCCTATCTCTACATCAACTCCCTGACCGGTGTTGGTGGTGAGTTTGGTACCAAGGAGGTGGACGATCCCGCGGCCGTTGTCATGCGTGTCGCCATTGTCGCCTTTGCTCCCATCGGTCTCAACCTTGCCGTCCTGGCCGCCATGTTCGGCATGGCGTGCTGCATGGGTCCGGTTCTGAGCATGTGCTGCAAGAAGTTTGGCTCGGTCCTCGCCGCCATCGCCCACGCCGTCGCTGTTATTGGCCTTCTTGTGTTTTTCGAGGTCATGTTCTTCCTGCAGCGTGCCGACTTTGCCAGGACGCTCCTGGGCATGATTGCTGTCCTCGCTCTCCAGCGCTTCATCCTGAAGGTCATCGTCACTCTGTGCTTGACCAGAGAAATGAAGACGGATGCCGCCAACATCGCTTTCTGGACCGGCAAGTGGTACTCTCTCGGCTGGCACACCGTTTCTCAGCCCGCCCGTGAATTCCTGTGCAAGATCACCGAGCTGAGCATGTTCGCGGCCGACTTTGTCCTCGGTCATGTCATCCTCTTCCTCATGCTCCCTGTCATTCTCATTCCTCAGGTTGACAAGCTGCACTCCATGATGCTCTTCTGGCTCCGCCCAAGGTATGTCCTCGTTCGTCCGTCTTCATCGCTGACCACGCTGACATGTTTGACAGTCGTCAAATCCGGCCTCCGATTTACTCGATGAAGCAGACCAAGTTGAGGAGGAGACGCGTCCTGCGTTACTCGATCCTCTACTTCACCATGTTCATCTTGTTTGCCGCTTTGATCGCCGGCCCGCTCGTTGCCGGCAAGTTCATCATGCCGACTCTGGAAAAGACGTTGAAGTTTGGCGACATGGTGTTGTTGCAGCCTGATGTGAATCAGGACAACACCCGCAACAGCACCATGACCGGTACCGGTCGCCCGAGCTACAGTGGTGCCTATACCCCAACGACAGTTGCGGCGAAAAGACCGGCCGAGACTGCGGGCACCAACGACAGACTCTTTTAAGCAAAGCAAAGCGCCAGCTTGGTCAGCCTCGCGCGAGGCCACGACTTTGTACAATTTTTAATAGTAACCATATGGGATTTTGTCGGACCTCTCTTTGGTCAAGGAAAAGAATAGGGAGATGGGGAGTGGTCCCGGGGAGTTTTTGTCATGAAAAGAAATGTTGTATTCTTGGAACTCGACAGCAAACCTCTGGCAGCATGAGCATCATTTCATTTTGATTTTTTGTCTCTCTCTTTTTTTTTTTTTTTTTTTTTTGTTGATTTTTTGATTTTGGGGTTGGCGGAAGGCATTGGTATCACATACACACAAGTGGGCTTTTTTATTATTATTCTAGACGCTTAGCTCAATTTCCCTGTCTCTGCTGCTTTTTGTTATGTGGTCTTCTGAAAGTTACTTAATGCGGATTAATGGCATTGTTGGGTTGCGTTGTTGCATATTTGTCCAAGTACCTTTGAAGCATTGCGTGTTTTTCAAGATGATTGCTTGTGTGTGTTGTCGTCGATGTGCTACTACGTAATGTAATGGGTTCAATAAGGATGGATGGCTACGAGTCATTGAGCAAAGAGGGCATGATTATTGATGAGTTCTTGAATGTGTGTATGATTGAGAGTAGGGTATCTAATGGAAATATCTTGGTTGCCCCTGAACTGATTTGAGATGCCAAGAGAACTTGCCCCTGAGTCGGGAACGGGATTTGAGAACAAGAGGAAAAAAAGTAAAGTGGGGTGGGTCTACAGAGCTCCGAGCCACTGGTCTGACGTGTGTGGGACCGACCCCCTGTTTTCCGAGGCTGCCGTTGTGCCGTGGTGTGCTGTGTTGTCACCCTAGCGGCGCGCGCGACCGCTACCACCACTGCTGCTTGCTGCTGCTGCTGGAATATTTTTCCCCAGCTGCAACTTACCACACGACACCGACACCGCAACACGAACGCGACAAGCATTTGAAGAGTTTACCTGACGGAACGGCGTTTACACTCTCCTTTTCTTTTCAGCGACGAGCGAGCGGGTTTGACCAATGCGATTGATCTGTTGATCCTGTGTCTTCCCCTACATACCAGATCGATCTTGAAACAACAAGCACAGGCAGGAGGAGGAACAGCAAACATGGACCTCCAAGACCTCCAAACCCGCCTCAACCTCTTTCTCGACCACGCGGCGACCACCTTCCAAAAGGTCCCCGGCAGCGCAGTCCTCATCCGCTATGTCAGGTCCAGCTACCAAAACGACCCCGTCAGATCCGCCATCGAGCTGGTGCTGGTCATCTTCTTCATCCGCTATCTCCTCAGCCCAAGTTACTCGACCAGCAAGGTCAACTACGTCAAGCTCACCGAAGACGTACGTCCTTCTCCCCCCTTCCCCCACAATAACCTCTACTAACCTCCCCCCTTCCCCCGTTCAAGGAAATCGACGAACTAGTCGAAGAATGGACCCCCGAACCCCTCGTCGCCCCTCTCACCCCCCTAGAAGAAACCTCGCTCGAGAAACTCCCCATCCTCGTCGGCCCCTCGGGCCCCAAATCCAAACTCTCCACCGGCAAAACCGTCACCAACCTCGCCTCATACAACTTTTATAACCTCAACGCCAACGAGCAAATCAAGGAGAAAGCCATCGCCACTCTTCGGACGTACGGCGTTGGGCCCTGCGGTCCTCCCCAGTTTTACGGAACGCAGGACGTGCACATGAAGGCCGAGGCCGATATCGCGAGCTACCTAGGCACAGAGAAGTGCATCGTCTACGCCCAGGCCTTTTCGGCGATTTCGTCCGTGATTCCCGCGTTTTGCAAACGCGGGGATGTTATCGTGGCTGACAGGGCGGTCAATTACTCTATTCGGAGAGGGTTGGAGATCAGCAGGAGCAACATCAGGTGGTACAACCACAACGACTTTGAGGACCTGGAGCAAGTCATGAGGGGCGTTGTGGCGGAGCAGAAGAAGAAGGGCAAGCTGACCAGACGGTTTATTGTCACCGAGGGACTGTTTGAGACGTGCGGGGATATGAATAATCTGCCCAAGCTGGTGGAGCTGAAGGAGAAGTACAAGTTTAGGATTATTCTGGACGAGACTTGGTCGTTTGGCGTGCTGGGGCGGACGGGGAGGGGGTTAACGGAGCATCAGAATGTTGATCCGACGCAGATTGACATGATCGTGGGGAGCTTGGCTGGGCCGCTGTGCGCGGGGGGTGGGTTTTGCGCGGGGGATGGGGATGTGGTTGAGCACCAGAGGATCGCGGCGGCGGCGTACACCTTTTCTGCGGCGCTGCCGGCCATGTTGGCCATGACGGCGAGCGAGAGCTTGAATGTGTTGCAGAGCAACCCCGAGATTTTGGCGGGGTGCAGGGAGAATGTCAGGTTGTTGAGGGGGCAGCTGGCCGAGGGGAGGAGCGAGTGGGTTGTCTGCACGAGCGCGGCGGAGAACCCGGTGCAGCTTTTGGTGTTGAGGGAGGAGGTGGTGAGGGCGAGGAGGTTGGAGTTGGAGGACCAGGAGAGGTTGCTGCAGGAGTGTGTGGATGAGGTATGTTTGTTTCCCCCCTGCGTCTTGGCACCGAACATGAGTTTGGTTTAACTAACGAGGTGTAATATAGGCTCTTGCGAACGGGGTTTTGATCACCAGGCTCAAGGGGATGAGCATTTCTACTCATAACAGCCTGAAGGATGGGAGCTGGATTGTCCAGCCTGCGCTCAAGGTGTGTGTCACTTCGGGCTTGAGCAAGAAGGACATCGAGAAGGCGGGGCAGACGATCAGGCATGCTATTACCAAGGTTATGACCAAGAAGGGGAATAACAAGCTTAACTTGCCTGCTGCGTGAGGGGGATGGGGACGTGCTATTATATAGACGATGGGATGATAGAATGGGGTAGACCGTGGTGGGGGTGTAATAATGATGATGGTTGGCTAATGCTGCAGAGGGAAATGGATGGATGAGATGGGTATATATATTTATATATATATATATAGAAAAGGGTTAAGGGATGAAGATATGAACAGCGTGGGGGGGGGGGCGGGGGGTTTAATGTGTTTTAATGGGATGTGTATAATTTGTACATGTGGATGTGGATGGGGATGGGGATGGGGATGGGGATGGGGATGGAGAAAGGGTATTTAGTTAGATATTTGCCGTTGGATTCGATGGCTCTCTCGTTTAATTGAGGGGTTGTGGGGCAGTTACAATGCAAGTAATGATGAGTGTTTTCCTATTATTTGTTTCAAAACCGAGGTAACCACTTCCAAGATGTCAGGATACCCCCCCCCTGTCGTCTAAATCATATACAACATCACCATCACCATCCACCTATCCCCCCTTTCCATTATTCCCCTCTCCTCAATCTTCCCATCACCCTGTGCTTCAGCCCAAGCCATGCCCCGCACACCGCTCTGCGCAAAACGGCCCCCTTCTCCCCCGCCCTCTTCCATGGGCCAGCAAAAGCCGTGCGGAGGGGAAGAGGGCGGTGAGGAGGGTCCAGCAAGTATCAAAGCATCTCGGCGGGCTGCGCTTTCGTGATTATTATGTGGTGTCCAGTTAATATATTCGAGTTGAGATGATTCAGCCTTGTCTTGCGGGATAACAGCAAGGCTTCCGACCAAGTATGAAGAGGTCATGCTCGAATGACGAGGATGGTGCTCAGGTGCCATTGAGTAAAAATGAGGAAGGAGCCCGCCCCTGAGACCATGCCATTACAGCACCGCTCACACTGCCCTACCGTTGCAGTCACTGCAGTAAGGTAGTATAAATAGGGGCAGGTCCATCTGGCAACAAGAGAAGAAAACAAAAGAGACGTCTTGTAATTCCAACACCCGCAGGTCTCGAAAACACCAATTGTAATCGCTTTTTCAGCCTCCGCGCTCTCCGCTTCAAATATCAACATGCATCATGTTCCGTTCCTGGCTCAATCCCGGATATTACAACACAGACCACGACGCGCCAGACCCTCACTTTCCACCACCGCTGGAACCGTCTACGGAATACTAAACTCCGGCACCTCCCCCATCTCATTCTTCACCTCCCCATTCAGCTTGTAGCTCACCCTCCACCGCAGCTTGATCTTTTCCACCTTCTGCGACTTGTCCCCCGAGCGCCACACCTTGACCTCCTGTTTGACCCCGTTGATTTGTTTTGGCAAGAGATTACGGCCGGACTGTGGCGTGAGTTGTAACTCGTAGCCCTGTCGAAAAAGTCAGCAAGAGCTATTCTACACAATAGTAACGGCAAAAACATACCTTGGTCACCGCTAGTTGAAAGTGCAGTTCCGTTACTGGGAAGGGAGTGTTGTTGCTGAACAGCATGAGCAAATCCACCGGTGGTTGTCCCTCGGCCGCTCGGAAGGCCTTGAAGTCAATCTTGAGATTGGTGTTGTTGATGACGGCCGTGTGCTCCCTGGGCTGGGCGGGAGCTTCTGGTGGGAGGGCCGAGGAGAAACTCCACTCGTCATCGTCGTTGTTTTGGGGTGCCGCTGGCGTGGGTGTCGCTGGCTTGGAGCCAAGAGAGGCCAGTTGGGCAAAGGGATCGTTGGAAACTGGTTTGGAGGCGGGCGGTGAGAACGCCGACCTGACAGGCTTTGGGGTGGCCGTCTTGGACGAGGGCGCCGAGCTGAAGGCGGAAAAGTTTGAGAAGCCAGGGGGCGGTGCTGGTGAGGTTGATGTTGATGCGCTGTAGTTCCCTCCAGCGCTGTTGTTTTGTGTAACCGAAGACAAAAGAGCCGGGCCAGGGATATCTGGGACTGTTAGCCATAGTCCAACGTTGGTGAGGAGGAAAGAAAGCATACTAGTATTGGCACCAAAACCCAAAGCAATACCGCCCGTTTGGCCGTAGCTGCTCGTTTCCCCTAAGGACAGGCCTAGGAGGTCATTTTCAAGACCAGATCCGGAAGCTTGAGATGCCCCTTGACTGCCAGAACCGTTTGTGTCTGCCGCAGCGTCGTCAAAGTCAATCAAAGACAGCTCGCCGGCTGCGCCCTTCCCACCAGCACTCGCAGATGGGGTGAAATTGGGGTCGGCCAACTTGGCAGCACCCTCAAAGTCTCCCTTCTTCAGCAGCCTGTATCTCTGGAAAGTCCGGTGAATGGCATCGTTAATTTCCAGCAGCTTCGCAACAGCTTCGTGGTCTTCCGACTCTTCCTCACACATCTTCTGGATCTTTGGTTGGGCGCTGGACAGGGCTGAGGCGAGCTCCGAGAACACATCACCGTCCGCCATCTTATCACCAGGCTTAAACTGCGCTAACCTCTCCTCCAACAACCTCGCCTTCTGCTGAATTTTGGCCACCTCCTCCGCCGCTTTGGCGCGGTAGTCGACCTTCGATCTTGTATCGTAACCCGTCATAATCTTCATCAGTTGGTTGGCCTCGCGAAGGTCCTCAGGGGTGCCCCTGCGAATGAGCTCTTGTAGCTTGGCCGACTGGGCTTCCCTCTCCTCCTTTTCCATCTCTTCTGCCGATTTCAAATTCTATTCGGTTAGCATCGCAGCCCATAGCTCACAGACAGGCCCGGCAAGAACCTACATCGCTAGGATTCAACACGGCCGCATCCTCCCTCCTGACCTCCGGGAACGTATACCCCTTATAACTCAATAACCGGTGCATATCCCTAATGAACCCCAAGTCCTCCCTGTACCTGCTCGTCTCGCAAATCGTACCGCGCCATTCTTCTATCAGCTCGAGGATCTTGAGCTGGACACGGGTCGGGCGGATAGGCGGGCGTTCGGGGAAGCGGCGGACCAGCTCGTTCAGGAACTCCTTGGTGCTGATTTGCAAGTGGAAAGGGTAGCCGCAGTTCTTGACGCATATATCCAACAGGTTCAGAGCCAGCATGGCAATGTTGGGGTTGCGGTGGTTGATGTAGTTGACAATGGCCACGGCCGCCTCGCGCGGGGCTGAGCCCTTCTTGGCGTTGATGAGGTCGCTGATCTCGAGATTGAGCGCGAGGTTGGGTTCGTAGTTCTCGGGACTGCAGGCCGAAGCAATGTATCGTAGAAGCTGTGACGGCGCCGGGTGACCCGGGTCTCCCCAACGGTCCCTTGCCGCGTATCGCGCCGAGGCCGCCTCCATTGTTAATGGTGGTGTTGTTCTTTCTGGGGGCGGTTCGACGGGGATGGGAGCTCGGCTCGTCAGTGGTGTCTGTGTCGGGGGGGATAAGGACAGCTTGTGAAGCTGGAATATCAAGCAAGTAGTGCTATGAGTACAAAGTCGTCTACAGCGCCAGTATTAAAGCCCCAGTAGACAGGCAGCAACGTGAATTTGGGATGGGGTTGAGATAGGAAGCTTGGACTGCAACTGTCGGTGGCAGCAAACAAGCAGGTGGCAGCATGCAAGAAGCCCGAACGACCCGTTTCTCGAATAAATCCCAGGGGGTACGTAGATCCAGGACCCCTGTGAAAGCTCCCGGAACGTTGCATAAGCGGGGTAAGCCTCAGCTGGTAATAGTGGGGGTGACGTTTCCCACCCCACCATAAATTATTATTCTGACATTTTTCAGCTTCCTGATATCATCACCACCCTCACCACCCTCACCACCCTCACCGCCCTCACCTCCTTTCACAAAAACACAGCCCCCTCTAGCTATCACCATGGTCCGCCACAAAAAAGACAACTTCTCCCGCGGCGGCAAGAAACCTCACCGCGGCCCCCCCCGCCACTCCAACCGCCCCGAATCCAACCCCAACAACGATGACCCTACCCTCCCCTCCTCCTCCACCACCACCCGCTCCCGCCCGGCCTTCAAAGCCGCCTGCTGGGACCTAGGCCACTGCGACCCCAAACGCTGCTCCGGCAAGAAACTCATGAAGCTCGGCCTCATGCGCGACCTCCACCTCGGCCAGCGCCACGCCGGCGTCATCATCACCCCCAACGGCAAACAGACAGTCTCCCCCGCCGACCGCCCCATCCTGGAAGCCAACGGCGCCGCCGTGGTCGAGTGCTCCTGGGCGCGCACCCAAGAGGTCCAATGGAACAAAGTCGGCGGCAAACACGAGCGTCTCCTCCCCTACCTCGTCGCCGCCAACACAGTCAACTACGGGAAGCCCTGGAGGTTAAACTGCGTCGAGGCTCTCGCGGCCGCTTTTGCGATTTGCGGACATTTGGAATGGGCCGAGGAGATCCTCGCTCCTTTCTCGTATGGCAAGGCGTTTTTGGAGATCAATGAGAAGTTGCTCAAGAAGTACGCTGCCTGTGAGGATGAGGCGGGGGTCAAGAGGGCGCAGGAGGAGTGGATGGAGAGGTTGGACAGGGAGTATGCTGAGAATAGGGAGGAGGCCGAGGGGGATGATATCTGGGCGGGGGGCAATGTCAACAGACGAGCCCCAATAGACTCGGACGATTCGGATGAGGAAGAGGAGGACGACGAGGATGATGATGATGATGATGATGAAGAGGAGGAAGAGGATGAGGTTGATGGGATATACCTTGGAAGCAATCCGCCACCACAAAAAGGGAAACAAAAGCAATCTCAACCAATACCGGAGGAGGAAGAGAAGGACCCGTTTGCGATATCAGACGACAGCGATGACGACGCCGAGATGGAGGCTATTCGGAGGAAGATTCTGGCTTCGAAACCGTTCACCGAGAAGGAGGACACACTTGAGAAGAAACCAGAAGTGATCTCTAGGCCAACACCACATTCGCAAAACATGAAGCCAGACTCAGATGCAGAACCAGATTCGGACAATGGGTCGGATAACGACGACTTTGACGACATTATCGATGCCACACCCATGACAGATCGCATTGGGTTGTCAAAACTGGAGAAGGAGCGTGCCAGGGTCCAGACAACAAGCCGGACATTCTCGTCAGGAGGAGCAAATGCTCCAAATAGGTGGTAATGTAAAAGGAAGAGCTTATCCCTGCTTATGATGGAATGTACAGATATTTTATACATAGATATTTACACGCATTGAGCCTCCAAGGTTGGGCATTTTTTGTTGCCTACCAAAAAACCATGCTCTCATGACCATGAAGATGAGATGCAACGTGATTTTGCCTCGGTCTCTATAAACACCCCATCTAAATGCTCCCCAATCCCATTTATATGCTTAATCATCTTACAACTTCCTCTTCTCCCTAATCTCCTCCACCATCTGGATACGATCGCCCTCTTGAAACTCATCCCACCCCTCGAACATGATACCACACTCACCACCCTTTTTGATCTCGGTCACCTCCTTCTTGCCATGCTTGAGTTCATCGATCGTCCCTATTTGTCACAGCATTAGCACCCCCATCATCATCATCATCATCATTAGCAGCAGCAGAAGTAGAGTAAACTCACCCTCGTAAACCACCTCCTCCCCCCTCAGCACCTTACACCTCCCCCCGGTATTCACGACCCCATTCCTCACCCTGCACCCCGCCACATTATGATACCTCCTCCCCTTGGTATTAATCGCAAACACCTTCAGCACCTCCGCCTCAGCCAGCACCCTAAAGCTCACCGTCGGCGCCAACAGCTCCGACAACCGTCCCCTGACATCCTCGACCAAATGATAAATAACATTATGATCCAGGATCGGCACCCCCGCCGCGTCAGCCATGGCCTTGATATGTCCCGCGATGGGGTTATTAAAGTTGATAATCGCCCCGCCAGAAACCTGCGCGTGCTCGACATCGCTCTCGTTGATTTGCCCGGTCGACGATTTCAAGATCCTGGGGCGGACTTCATTATTCCCTTGCTCGAGGATGGATGCCGTTACGGCCTCGACAGAGCCGTGGACGTCGCCTTTGATGAGGTAAGTGAGGTACTTTGTGCCGGTGGCTTCATCATCTTCAGGAATTTCCTCCCCGTTGGCAGCCCGTTCGGCAGCTTCCTTCTCCTTGCGCTCCTTTTCCATTTCCGCCATCTGCTCAATCGCCTCTTCGCGCTCCTTCTGTTCCTGACGGTACCGGACGGCGACCTTGGCTGTGTCTTCGTCTGGTGCCTGGAGGACTTGATCACCCGCCGCGGGTGGTTCCCTCCACCCCAAGATCTCGACTGCTGTTCCGGGAGGAGCCTCTGGGATTTCAACACCCGCTTCGTTTCTCAGCAGACGGATCTTGGTGGAGACTCTTCCGGCGACGATAAAATCACCTGGGCGGAGGGTACCCCTCTTGACCAGAACAGTGGCCACACGACCGATGGGCTTGATGGAGGACTCCAACACCCAGCCCTCTGCCATGCCATCTTGTTCCGCGCGGATGTCGAGCATCTCGGCAAGCAACAGAATATTCTCCTCGAGGTCGTCCATACCCAAGCCAGTCTTGCCACTGACCTCGACAACCTGAACATCACCGCCAAAGTCCTCCAACTCCACCCCCTGAGCGCCAAGATCAGCCTTGACACGGTCGGGGTTCGCCTCGGGCTTGTCCATCTTGTTGATGGCAACAATAATAGGAACGTTAGCCCCGCGCGCGTGCTTGATAGCCTCAATAGTCTGAGGCTTCACACTATCGTCCGCAGCCACCACCAAAATAACCATATCCGTCACCGTAGCTCCCCGCTGCCTCATCGACAAGAACGCCGCGTGGCCCGGTGTATCCAAGAAAGTAATCTGCTTCCCTGAACTCATCTTTACCGAAAACGCACCAATGTGCTGTGTAATCCCGCCATGCTCCTGACTCACAATCGACGACTTCCTCAGATAATCCAGCAACGTCGTCTTCCCATGATCAACATGCCCCATAATCGTCACCACCGGCGGTCGCAACGGCAAAGAAGAGGGGTCCTCCGGCGGCGGTCTCGGCCTCAAATCCTCCGTCTCTCCCGTCTCCACCGTCGGCTCAAACCCATACTCCTGCGCCACCAGCGCAGCCGTCTCACCGGTCAAGATACTCTCCTGACTGACCTCCTCAAAGCCCAGCTCCTCCAGCTGCCTCACAAAATCCCTAGCCTTCACCCCCAGCGCACTGGCAAGGTTGGAAACGCTGATGAACTCGGGCAGCAAAATCGGCGTCGGCCCATCCAACTCGGCCAACCTCTGTCTTTCCTTTTCAGCCTTCCTCTCCGCCTTGCGTCGGCGCCTTTCCTCGGCATAGTCAACATCAAACTCCTCATCCTCATCGTCATTCCTCCTCCTTCCACCCTTTGACCTTTTCGACTTCTCCACCACCTTGACCTTTTCGACTTCTCCACCACCACCTCCCTCTCCCTCCCACGACCACCTTCCCTCCTCCCGACAGTCTCCCCCTCCTCACCAACCACCTGAACAACCGTCCCCGCCGCTTGCATCCCCCACGTCCCACGCAACGAAGCAGCAACCCTATCCTCCGGATGTACATACCTCCCCCCTTCCCCCTGCTCTTGACTCTCCACCCTCCTCACCTGCGGCCGCTGACCCGTCTCATCAGCCCAAGCCCAAGCAGCCTTGTCCTCGGCCGTAGGCATAATCTTCTTTGGCTGCCTCGACTCCTCCTTATTCGCAGCCACAAGCTTAGCCCACTCATCGCTCGGACTATTGCTGTGCGGTTGTTGCGCGGGGCTCTGCTCCCCACCCCCCAATTGCGAAGCCGTCAACCGTCTTCGATGCGTCTGCTGATACTCTGACGACGGAGGAGGAACCGGCTTATCAAACGGCATTGATCTTGCTGGTCGGGAAAAGTCAAAACCTTTGACAGTGCCGGTGTCATTGTTGCTTCGCCTTCTTGTCAGGTTGGCCCATTCGGGGAAGGGGTTTGACGGTGTTGATTGTGAAGATGGGGGAGGGTTGAAGGTAGGTCTGTCGGATGGGTTGAAGGTAGGTCTGTCGGATGGGTTGAAGAAAGGTTTGTCGGCGGGGTTGTAGTTCTTGTGGCGGCTGAACTGGAAGGGGGTGCTGCTTCGTTCTGATTTTTGGTCCCGTGCTGGGGAGGGCTGCCATTGACGAGGGGGAGGGGGAGGGGGTGGTGGTGGAGGAGGAGTAGAAGCCTTTGGCGGCGGAGGAGGTGGTGGAGGAGGAGGAGGAGGCGGTGGTGGAGGAGGTTTCGGTGCTCGGGGCTCTAATTTCGGAGGGGGCACCTTTGCCCAGGCTGGCATGAAACCATTGTTGCGGGTGTTGTTCGAGAGTCGGACCTGGCTCGAAGTTGTTGGTCTTCTCGAAATCGACAAGGTCGTCGGTTCGGTTAGGCCATTGCTAACGAGTGCTGAGTAGGTTCTCGCGGAAGCGCCCGACCGGAGGCTGTGTCGGAAGTTGTAGCTGTAGCTGTAACTGCAGAGCAAGCAGGCGGATGGACGCCTCTGCTTCTGTGGTGGTGGAGGGGTTAACCGGCCATTATGATATGGAGAACTGGAGAATGGCGCGTGGAAATTGGAAAAACTCACCTGCCATAGACCACCCCTCATGATGTAGAAAACTGTTGGAGCATTGCGCTTCGGACTGGAAACGAGAGGAGGGGTTGCGATGTTGGCGCGTTATCTCTCTCTCTCTCCCCAGCATCCATGGAATTCTTGGACTTTCAAAAATTCAGCCAAGGCTCAAGCTTTCCCAGCCGAGAGACAGGGATCCGTAATCCGTCCACCGGGATTTAGCGGGCGCTTTCCAAAAACCGGGGCCCCGATGTAACGCTCAAAAGGGTTAGGGTTATCCCCTGAATAGCCAAACCTCATCTCATTTGCAGAGAGACCGTGAACAACTCACCAACCATCAGTCTCTCACTTTTCCTCATCACCACCACCAAATTTCATCACTGTTTTCTTTCCCCTTTCTCATATTTCACTTCTCTTTACATATCGATTTGCAATACCTCTCACCCCCGCCCATCATGCGCCCACCAAAACATCTAAAGCAAAGCCCGCCTCACCCCCAAATCCACCTCCCCCTCCCCAGACACCCCCCCCAAACCCTTCCAGGTGGCCCCCCCCTCCCTCAACCCCCTAACAGAAACCCTCGACCCCTCCCACATCTACATCTCCCACCTCGACCCCCGCCCCTCCCCCTTCAAGCGCAAAATCTTCCTCGTCCCCGTAGCCATGAATCTCCTCGTCCTCGCTCTCTTCATCCTCCGCTCCGCCACATCTTTCCCTGGTACCTCCAACTCCTCCTCTCCCTCTCCGGCCAAGAAAACCCCACCACCCTCCGCTTCACCGACCTCACCACCTCCCAATACCTTTGGGTCCTCCTCCGCCGCGCCTCCACCTTCCTCCTCGACTTCACCCTCGCAATCTTCGTCTGGCCCTGGCCCTACGAATTCCTCATCGGCTCCCCCCTCACCGGCTCCCCCTGCCACTGGCGCTACAAAGTCGGGTTTCGCCCCTCAGAAATCTACCTCCGCCGCTCCCGCAAGTGGGATGTCGAAATCCTAGGTAAAGGTAAAGACCTCCTCGCCAACGACGACCTCCGCAAGGTGTTTTGGAACCACATCCGTTCCGCCACGTCCCCTATGCTCCTGCAGCAAAAGACTGGGTACCTGACTATGGACGCGGATTGGGATTTGGACTGGGCGGGTATGGTCGCCGCCACGGAGCTGGCCGACAAGAAGGTTATTGACGAACGTGTCTTTGGGACGTTGGTGCTGGTGTACCATGAGAATTTCGGGTGGTTGAGCATTGATCTCTCTGACACGGGGGCTAAGCCGGGGACGAAGGAGGATGAGAGAAGGAAGCAGGTGTTCAAGTTTAGGGATGCGCTCACGGCGATTGGGCAGGAGGATTTGTTCTTTAGGTGGATCGAGGTTGTGCAGTTTGAGACGGGGAGGCCGGGGGGTTTTACGGAGGAGAGGCAGGTGGAGGTGGCGCAGAAGATTAGGGATATGTTCAAGGAGAAGGGGGTGGATTTTGATGAGTTTTGGAAGGAGGCCGTGGGGACGGAGGGGTTGGCTGGTATGCCTTGATTGTTGCGTTAAGTTGTATGTTTGAAAGGGTTGGTGGTATGTGTTGATCAGTTTGGTTGAATATGGTGCTTAATGGGTATGCGTGTGTACGACATGGTCCAGGTGTGATAGATAGCATTTAGAAGGGCGGATAGAGGTATATACGGTGGTCACATATGGGCATGGTGTTAATCCAAGATAAATATATGTAACGAGCAAAGGGGGAGGAGGATACCAAAAGCGCATGTAATAAGAGACAATGTAATAAGAGAACCCGAAAAAAGCCGGCCTGAATCGTCCATCAAAAACAACGCCTAGTGTCGTCGTCTGCTCATTTCTTGCCCTTCTTCTTCGCCACGGGACCAAGAGCCGCCTCGCGCTTCTTGGCCTCCTTGGCCTCGATCTCGGCCTTCTTGAGACGGTTGGCCTCGTCTTGCTCTTGCTTCTCAGCCTGGTTGAAATATTAGTCACCTTCTCCAGGTAGAACCTCATCTGACAATACGATCAACTTACCAATCTCCTCGCCGCCTCCTCCTCTCTCTTCGCCCTAATCTCCCTCAATCTCGCCAAATCCGCCTTTGCCTGATCCGTCTTGCCCTGCTCATGAAGCTTCATATATCTCTCCTTGGCCTCCTGCGCAGCAATCGCCTCCCTCTCCTTCTTATTCGGCGCCGAAACAGCCAGCTTCTTCGTCCCGGCCGCGAGTTCCTCGTCATCATCCGCGCTCTTCTTGGGGACCTTGGTCTGGTTGCGAGCAGCACGGGAGTGGTTCGGGTTGGCAGGCATTTTGCTGGCCTCCTCCTCCTCGCTCTCCTCTTCGTCAGAGTCTGACGGCATATCCCCCACTTGGACAGGTCCCTTCTTCGCCTTGATGGCGGCTTCCTTGGCGGCCTTCTTTTGCTTCTTGCGCTCCTCGCGGCTTAGCTCCTCCGCCGCCGCCGTGGGGATTTTGACGGCGTCGTTGTCGTCTTCGGATTCCTCCTCCGAGGAGTCATCCTCAGAGTCGGAGTCTTCTTCTTCTTCGTCTTTGGCTGGGGCGTCGCCCCACATGCCCATTTCGTTGCCGTCAGCGTCGAGGGGGCGGAGGTTCTTGGAGAAGTGTTTGCCGCCTGGATTGGGGGTTAGTTATGGGGGTGGAAGGGGGAGGGAGAAAGGGAAGGGACATACCACCGCGGGTGAACTTTCTGAACTTTCCTCTGCCGCGAGAGCTAGCTGCGCCGCTGCCGCCTGCCATTTTGACTGATGGGGGTCGTGGTGATGGGTAGATCTAAATGTTTGATGGCGGGGTATCGCAAAGTTGGGCGCTTTTGTTAAGGCGCTGTGGTTTTGCTGGTCTTGGGCGTAGGCTGCGAGAGTGAGAGAGGTGGTTTTTGAACTGAAGAGTCTAAGAACCAAGAGAATCTTTTCTTATCTGGGCCAGATAATATTTACTTTACAGCAATGCCAGGAACAATAGCAACTGAGGAAAAGGATAAACCACAAACGGTTTGGAACCCCGCTGTGGGGCTTGATGGTTAGGTATGGCTTCCCACCGGCCCGGGCTGTGCAATTCAGTTGGCTCTGTGTGGCTGGTGCCTGATGTGGCTCGTGCTCTCTCAGGGGCCGACGCTCTCTGATTGGATGGGTTGTGGCCCCACTCTCGACGACAAAGTTGCCTTTAAAAGTCTTTCTGCTCGTCCCAAATTTGAAGGTTTTCTCTTTTTCTTCTTCAACAACATAAAACTTCATTTTTCCTTCGTATTCACTCCGGTAAAAGTCTTACACCATGACGGTCTGGAGGGGAAAGCGGGGGATAGATTGACACTTTCTGCATTTACACTCCGGTGGTCGCTCTATATCGGCCACTGGGGACCATGATGCCAGAGACATGCCTCTTTTAGATAGAACATTTGACTGTACGCACACGCACACGAGAGCAACCTCAACAAAGGTCCGTCTCGTGAGTTTCTGAACTGGCTGAAGAAGTGCTCTTGCAATCGCTCCTGCTTCCTTCCTATTGAGTTTCCCACGCCACTTTCTCTGGGAGGCCTTTGCACAGACCAACACAATAGACATTTGGTGTCCCTGCAAACCTCCACCACTTACTCTTCTTGATCATGGACTGTCCAACGCTTCAAACATCATTGTGGACGCGTCAAGCCTTGTAACTTCATTTTAGGCCTCCCTTGACAATCCTTGTCTCTCAACAACAACTATTGGCACAGAACCCCCATTGTATAATGACTTTGATAACTGGTCCCAAGGATGTGGTCCGTAAGATGGATCTGGTCTCTATGTGTATGCGCGCGGTCGCTAAGAACATGGCCAGCCTCACAACAGACCATCTCGTGCTTTTACCAGAACCCCGCCTCAGGCAGCTTTTTAGGCTCTTGGATCCAATGTAAGTCGATGTCTCTCTCGCTCATCCAGACCCTCCACACCGCTCACCACCACCTAGAATGACATACACCCAATGGCAACTCCTCGCCGATGCCATTTACATCAACACCTCACGGACAAACACCCCACACGGTGTTAAGCCTTTCTGCTGGGAAGATGACGTCGAGCCGGACGAGTTACCCAGACGCATCCAAACCATGCAGCCGCACCCGGGCAACGTTCACTTCCTCACCATTCTTAAAATTAAGGATACCGAGAGATTCAACACCCGCGACCTCCTCCTCCTCGCCGAATTGCGCAGCCTGGTCATCCTGCACATGGAAGACCGCGGCATCAAAACAGCCGCTCACTCGGGATTCTCGTGCAACAAACCGAGCTTGAATCTAAACAACCACCTCATCCGAGGTTGGAGCGAGAAAAAAGAACCCTTCCCTTCCCTCCGCAGTCTCATTCTCTTTGCCATGCCAGGTTCGCTCAGTATACACATGCTGCACTATGTAACTAAGTTCCCCAAGATCAAGGCAGTGTACGTCAACTCGCCAATCACAAACCCGCCGCCGGTCATCGGCCAGCCGCTGAAGGACGCGCCTGCCTGGGCGCCGGTGGAGTGTTACCGGTACGTGTACTGGGACATGGACATGGCTTTGCAGTATGAGGAGCTGGGACTGGATAATCCGTATGCTACCATCACTTTGGTGACGCCGCCGGAGCCGGGACAGGTGAACACCAATAAGGGTTTACTGAGCAATTTGTGCATATGGGAGTTTTCCAGGGATTGGAATGTTGAGGTGCAGGCTGAGGAAGCGCCTACGGTAGTGGTAACGCAGCCTAAGAGGAAGGCTACTACTGAGAGCGCGGGGGTAAAGCCGAAGAAGAAGTCGCAGAAGATTGGGGATTTATTGAGTAGTTTTGGATGATGGTCTTGGTGTTGTTTTGGGACGCAGTTACTGTGATATTAGCGTTTGTTTGCATCTGTAGCGTATGGGGCGTTGGGTTGGCTTTTTATATAGGCTTTTTGCTTATTTTTTCAAGGCCTCTTAACTATCTTTTAAGGCCTCTTAACTATTTTTCAAGGCCTTTAAAAATGATTGAAACGCTTTTGAAGATATTTCGAAGGTCTTTAAAGATAATTCAAAGGCCCTTAAAGATAATATAAAGGCCTATTAATTTTCTTTCAAGGTCTTTAATTATATTATAGGAAGGGTAAGGAGATAGGTATAGAGGGGGGCGCTGGTAAAATAAATAGGGGGCTCCGTAAATGTTTCTCTCTTATTGTATGGATATGGGCTCTTGTAAGGGAAGTAAGCGTATTGCAGGGGTCTCAAACGATACATAGAAAGGAGTAGACTGCGTAATAACATCCTCGACATGAGCTTGGTACCTAGTTGGACCAAACTCTTTTTGTAAATCGTTGGCACTTATCTTCCTTATAATAGACTCCTTCGTTAGCTCCGGCAGAGGCAAGTTACCGTCTTCATTGAAAGTCGTTTGCTATAACATTAGATAATAACGATGGACAGTGGGCGAGGCGGTTGAATTCAGGGACAAGTCCTGATTTAACGAGCAAGAACTGCGTTGGGGCAATATCTGTCCAGCTCTGGGAAGGTGGCTCTTTTGGTCGTCGAGGTTGTTGGCCAATTGTGGACTGTGCCGAATTCGAGTTCCTAATTCGGCTCTGAGTCGCTCTATCGGGGTTCTGGTCGAGTTAATATGGCCTTGATGGTGAGGGCAACTCTGTGTTTATTGAGTCGCGCCTGTTGTTTGCAAACGGGGGGGTCAATCCTCTGTCTACCTACCTTACATAAGTGGAAATGTCTTGTGGACTTTTTTCGTCACTTGAGTCTCTGGTCGAGTTTATATGGTATTTGTGGTGGAGATTTTAAGGCTGGTATCAAGATGGGACAGGATAGAGGGAGAGACTCTTTTATTGAGATGGGGGAAAATGGGCTAAAGGGAGGTAATTTCTGGTAAAAGAAGAGAGCTCCTAATATAAGAACCACAACTGGGCCTTCAAGAAGATTCTTTCGGTGCCTTGTCTTTATCAATCACGGCGGCCAGCACCTCGAATCCGTACAAGTCGGGCTTTGGCAATCCCTTGAATCCGCCATCGAGGCCAAACCAATCAGGCAGGTCCGCCAACTCTTCCCATCAAGGTTTGCGCCTGGAGGGGTGGGTATCGCTTTCGACGACAGCTCTCTCCTTGGTGACTTTCCTCTTTTTGGAGCTCTTCTTGATGTTGCCTTTCTTGCCGACTCTCCGTTTGCGATTTGGCCCACCCCCCATCTTCATCCTCCTCATCATTATCTTCGGCCGACTGACAAGACGAGCCGAAATTATCTGGCCCCACTTTCTTCCCGAAGATGATATCTTCTAGCTCCGTCTTTGAGGTTCGAAGGGATGTTCGTCCACCTGTCTTTGGACATGCCTGTGTATGTTTTTTTTTTCGGATCAGCAATGATGATAAAGTCTGACATGGGAGGAAATCAACGTACACCAACGAACGAGAAAGGGCACCAGGATCACGTCGTCAAGGAAGCGTTCCTTGCCCTCGGTAGAGAAGAAACCATGGTCTGCTCGGTCAACGTTGTACCGAAGTGACTCAATATCAACCGCCATCAACGCGGCAATCTGCAAGTCATCAAAGGGCTTCCACTCCGTCACCGACCTTTATGTCAGTTTTGCGAACTTCTCCTTTTACCAGCCCTCAAGTTTCTTGATCAGGTCGCGTCATTCGGCCATCTCTTGCTCTGCAGGTGTCATCGGTGCAGGGGTTTCCTCCATTTTGACCTCAGGAACGAGTGCTGGGTCTTCATCCTTGGGTTCCGCGACATTTGTCAAGACTTTGTCGGCGCAGGCGCGATTCCTCCGCTGTTCTAGAAAATCCTCCAGTTCGTTTGCAAACAGGGGTTCGTCTGAGAGAAGACCTTCGACTGCTTTCTTCAAGGGCTCTCGTTTTTCGGTATTCGCCTGTTGGGTTTGTGGTCCGGCAGGCATGATGGAGGGGAGGTTATTGTCTGAGCAAAAAGTGTTGATGGATTTAGAGAAATGAGGAAAAAAGTGATGAAGGATGAACCGGGAGGGGACACTCACTTAAACAATTGCCAGTGGCAGGAAAAACATGGTTAAAAGCTACCTTGACTGGCTCAGGGCGTGCTGGGCTGGGCCTGAGGGAAAGTTTAATGTGGGAGCAAAATTAATGGGGAAGCGAGCAAAGAAGTGTCAGAAACATTCAAGAAGTCTCGAAGAACCATAGGTAACTTGGAAGCTTTCAGATCTTATACACTCATTCCAAACCCCCTCTTAACGACGTTCTTATGTCTGTAAAAAGGTAACAGGTATGTACAGATATACACCCATATATCTTGCCAACGCTGAAAAGGCCATGTTTTGAACTGGTAACGGAGAAATAAACGAGAAAGGCTATATACTGGCCGTAATATAAACACTATATACAAGAAGGGTATCTTTGTTTCGTCTTTCCTGAACACCAAGACAGATCATGTAAACCATTCCCTGCTTTCCCAGAAAAACGCCTCAAACCTAGATCATCTACCGAATTTCCTTCCTTTCATAAACCCAACATATATGCTCAGCCTCACGAAGACTCTTTAATTGCCCATTGTGTAAAAGATATATACCAACCAGAGTCCCCGCAATCATGTTCTGTTGTTCGAAAGTATATAAAAAAATGAGAAGAAAGCACAGACTCCTGACGACTACGAGAAAAAGAAAAATGATCTCGATCTCCAAAACTCCATGTGTACATAGAAGAGAGATACCCTGAACAGTCGTCCTTTATGTGGGGTATGAACGGAAAGTGGAAGGGTTCAGTACGGTAGGAGAGAGGAGAAAAGAGCATATCCCCCTCAAAAAGTCTCGTTGTTCAGCCCACATACTAACGGCATGTACACTCGCCTCGTCCAATTCTGAATGGACAATTCGTGGGATGCGCCTGGGAGTTCGAGGAGGCCCGGGTGGTCTGTCTCGGAGGCAACCACGTGGTTTGTAAGGGCGAGGAGCTCGCCACACTGTTGTCCTGGATACCCAATCTGTCACCCTCTTGTGCGTTGTGGAATACGTCATGTTCTTCGTCATCGCTGTCCTTGTCATTTTTGCGGTTGAGGCTTCCGATCAGTATTTTCCGGACATTGCTGTTCCATAGTTTGCGGTCGACGATATCACTGGGTAGGGCGGTAAAGTTAGTAAGCCAGGGCAACGAGAGCTGAAATAAAGGCGAGACTTGAACAGTTGAACTTACAACTCATCCAGCTCTGACTTGAGCCCGTTGTCAAGATATCTCAGGCGCCTGGTTCCAGCTGGGTCGTTACCGAACTGGATAAATTGTATCATGATTTTGGTTCGGTCGTGGTTATTTTGCTGCATTTGTCGTATCAAATTTCGGATCGGGTGAGCAATGTTTGGGTTCCCCTGCTTGTCGTCATCGTCCCACACACCATCGGTAAAAAAATAGATGCTGATTCCAGCTCCAGATTGGGGTCTGAAAATCGACACACGGCTTGAATTGCTCGCCGTGTCCGAGATCGTCACCTTAACGTTCTCCAAGATGCGACTGAAGCTCGACTCGATGTTGCTGTTCTGCTTGGTGGGCTGTTTAAGTTCTCTTAAAAACTTTACAAGGTCGGTAGTTGAGTTCTTGTTCGCCTTCTTCTTCTTCTGTGGTTCCGAGATGAGATAGAGCTCAATGCCGTCGGGATCACACGCCTTGACTAGGTAGGACAGCGCCTCGAAAGTATCCACAACACTTTTCCAGTACTCCCACATGCTTTCGGAGTCATCGACGATGAATATCTACACTTCTGGTTAATAAATGAACGCCATAGTGTTTGGGTGCTAATGATTAAAAGACAAAAGATTGTTCCCCACCTGTTCTTTGTCTTGCTGATACTTCAGAGCGTCGGCTTGTCCCAGCAACTGTTCAAATAATCCACGTGGCCATTTCTTCTTCTTGCTACTTTCTTTGTAAACAAGAATATCCCAGACGAAAGGACCATCCTGTTCCCCACGCCTGGCGGTTGGATCACTGCTTGGTCTCGAGGCAGGCAACTTCTCCTGTCGGGTTGACCTGGGGCTGTAAATAGGCGAGGTTGTATCGGGCTGAAAGTAAGCAGGCTTAAAACCCATCATGGTTTCTATGGAACCTAAATGCCTATCCGCTGCCCTTCCGGAATCGACTGACAACGGCCGCTGTGTGACAAAGAATGCCTGCCCTAGACCTTGGTTGTTCGTAGGTGAAAGAGCAGATGATGGAGGGCGCTGTCCGCCAAATAAGGGAACAGCAACATCTTCAAGGTTGTGCTGATTGGAGTGTGGCACACCATGTGCACTGGCCCGGGTACCGTGGCTCCTAGGCGGAGTCCGTGAGTTAGAGGTAGGGATGTCGCCACGATATGCGGCAGAAGGATGGACGCGATGAGCGGGCGGTTCTTGTACTTGGCCTAGCGGTGGCCCAAGAGAATGGCCTGCCTTGCCAAAGTCCTCGCCGTCTTCGCTTTTGTTGTGATCGTTTGCTGCAACACGTGAAGGATATCCTATCATGAGATCGGGTGAGCCCGAAGGATGAGTACCGTAGATAGCGCGCGGTTGAGCGTTGGATAAATGGGCTGCTTTGCCACGCGAGTTGTGACTGGGTTGAGTGCGGGTACCTGTAAGAGCCGTACGTGGTTTCGGACCATTGCGGGCGTTGTCTCCTCCAGCAGTCTTTTCTAGGATCGCCTGAAACTCTCGTATAAGCTGTTTGGCTTTCGATCTGTCACAAGGGTCAACGCATAGCATTGACAGCATGATTCGTTCAGCTATAGGCTGGGTAAGGTCGTCACATTGCCGTTTGCAGGAGAGCGTTAGCTCCAACATCTCCTTGAGGGCGGCAAGCTCTTTTCCCCGGTTGTGAAATGCCCCATCAGGGCCGCCCTCTTTGAGACGTTTGACCAGACACTCGTCTCGCCCCGCCTCACCAGAGTTGATCCAAATGAGCATCTCGAAGTAGATACACCCCATTGACCAGATGTCTACCTTATAAGTTGCACCGCCATCTAAATGGCGAAGTTCAGCCGTGGGTGTGGTGATCTCTGGTGCCCCGTACATCTTGGTCCCTTTGTTGTCTGGGTGGAGAGTCTGCCTTAGGCGCATGCTGCTCAACCCGAAGTCGCCAATCTTGAAGATGTACTTGTGCTTGTAGGGCGGCTTGTCTTCGGTGAGGTCTTCGCGGTCCTCGAACACAAAGATATTGGACGGTTTGAGATCTTGATGGATGCCTCGCACAGCAGGGCAGGCATCCTGATTGTTAAAATGGTGAAGGAGCTCTAGGCCTCTGAGAAGATTCAGCATGGCTTTCCATACATTGTACACCTGCCAGGGGTAGTAGGGCATATTGTTCCTAGCGTAAAATTCTGTCAAGCTTCCTTTGTCGGCGTATTCAAGGAGCACATAGCCCCAACCCCCCTGCCTGAACGAGCCGTAATATCGGAGGAAGTATCGCGATGCATCCTCTTGCGATGAGTTGTTCTTCAACCCAATGTATGCCACCAGCTCGTTTGAGAACGTTTCCTCGGCTTCGCGTGTGAGCTCCTCGTTGTCGTGTCGTAGGCAAATCTTCTTCACGGCAATGGTTTCCTGTGTCTGTGTTCAGCCTACACCTTCGATATTCAGCATGCTTATATAGAGGCCTTTTGCTTACCACCAATTGACCCAACCCGCTGTCCGAGTTGATCTTGAATTTCTCAACGACGGTGGAGTTGTTTTTCGACCTGGATAGTTCACCGACGCGTTTCCATGGAACGATACACCGCTCGGCCAGGGGATGGTTGTGTCGGTACTTTGTCTCCAGCATAAAGGGGTTGAACATGAACTGGTGCATGTCAAACGCCTCCCATGCTGCGAGACCTTCCTCTCCGGTGGAAAAGATGGCCATGGCAGGGTCAGAGTGAGGATGCTGATCCCGCAATAGGGGAAGATTGTGGTCGTCAATATGATTGTTGATGAATTTGGAAAGATAGCTGATCCTGAAGGCGTTATGTTTCGTACAGAAAACCAGGTTGGAGAAGATGCGGAGAAAGCTTGTCTGGATAGTTTCGACATCGAGGTTTTGCAACTCGCCTTTGCGGGAATTGAGCACCTCGTTGATCTTGTCGGGATCCCAATACTTTTCCAACGCCTGGTAAGGGATATAGCTATCTTCCTGGCCAAAGCCATTGATGCCCCGTGAGCAGAGCGATGGGACCTCTTCCTGGAAGCCGATGAATGGGTCCAACCACCTGGTCATCTTGAGGGTTGAGCTGATACCGATTACCCCGCGATCGCGTGGTGAGGTGTGAAGGGTAGCCCTCAATGAAGGGCAAAACGATGACAAGATATAAGGTAAAGGGGGCGCTTTGTCATATTGGGCTTCGCATGCAGATGGGTGCGGAGTTAAATTGAAGCTTGGAAAAAACCAACCAACTGGTCACAAGCAGCCGCAGACGCGCTGGGGACGGTGAAAGTGAGTGATTATGTCCAGGTTGACCTCACAAGGCTCTGTTCATTCGAGGTGGGTGGTGCATCCTGTCCAGTTTGGACGCCTGTCTGCCTGTGCGACCCAATCCGCTTCCCAACCGCTGACCGCCAGGTTAACCGCTATCAACAACGTAAGAATCGGGATTAACATTAATTGATGCCATAAGCAACTGGGCTGCAAAAGCTTCTCATGACATACGGTAGGGCAAACCTAGTGAAAAGCCTTGTGCGGAGTACCTGACCCAAGAGGCATTCTGCAAGGCGGGAGTGGAAGCCGAGTTACGCATCACAACAGCCCAGCCAGGCATTCACGGCATTGTACCTTCTGCGGGGAAAGCGGCTAGCCTGATGTCGAAGACGCGGGAGGCGACCACTCATTGGCCTACCGGTTCTCTGGTGAACGATAGCTGTGCCTTATGAACTTGCGCCAAGAGCCCAGTTGACCTGGCGTTGCTGCACCGTACATGGCGATGCAGCGTCCTTGATGCTTTGGGGAAGACTTGGCTTTCCACAGGCTTGATGAGCCGGCAGATCAAGATGAGGCCGCCCAGATGCTCGAGAAGGAACTCCTCAGGTCTTGCATATGTACCATCTAGATACCGATCATCATATTTGCCCCTATTTTAGCTTTAATTCCCTCTCCGCAACACCCATTGCGGTTGTTCCTTGCTCTTCGTCTGCAAGCTTCTTTCTGTTCCAACATGCTCTCAATCTGTTCCAGCATGCTCGCAAGCACTCCCTCCAAAAAGGCAGATAGGAAACGAAACACCAAATGGTGATAGTAGCGCCCATGAGGGGGAAGCATATCTTGGCAAACAGTTTGAAGAATTCCCCTTTCCAGATTGGAAAGCTCATTTCCGGATTCGCTTCATCCCACTGGAATAAACCGCTGCCGAAGAATGTCTGGCTGTATGTTAGTAAAGTCGTGAATGCATGGGCGATCAAAGTCGGCAGGCCGAGTCTTACGGCAACGAAGGTTCCAGGTAGGAAGAGAAGGGTGACAATAGTGATAACATGCATCGAAGATGTGTCCTTCTCGGTCTTCTGCGCTATTACGTGCATGCTTTCGGTCACTGACTCCATATTGAGTGTCGATTTGTGCATTTGCTCCGTGAATTCCTCCATCCGCTGTTGGCTTATATTGGCAGTCGCATTAAAGAGCTTGCTCTGTTCCAGGTTGCGAAACTGGAGGACATGCTCAAACTGTGATGATCTCTCGTGTTAGCAATAGGCTTGCGGTTCAACTAAGTTGCACAACATACCAGTCCCCTGCCATCATGGAAGAGGAGCATCAGCGTTGCAATCCGTGTCTGCTCCATCTCTAGGGCTCTCACAATCGACATGGCGCGTCGAGAGAACTCAGCAAGCACTGGCCTACAAGCCTTGAGGTTCGCTGGAAACTCTTCCGCTTCAACGAGGCTTTGATAATGTCTCATTACATCACGAAGGACGTCGGAGTCCAACTTCATCACGAGGCCAGCGGTATGCAGATCCGCTCCAATTCCGTTGAGCTCTTGTAACTTCTCAAGTGAAATGTCTTTCAACATGTCAAACGGATCTTGATCATGGTGGATTCTTCGGCCCTTCTTCTCAGTTGATGATTCCGGTGGGCAACCAAGTATGGGCGAGAATGTTTCTCGCCGGACAGGGGAACCCGGGAAGGACTGCATACTTGTTGCAGTCAAATTAGTAGACGCTCTTGTGTTCAGCGGATTGATAACTGCTGACTTCAATGTACTCCGCCGAGTGAAGGTTCGCGTGGAATTGAAGGGGCTGGCTGGGCTTCCTGGGTTGACAAGATCAGGGGAAGTGACCAAGTTCGACTCGACTATTTGTGAAGAGCTTATAGGAGCCTTGAGTGCCTTGAGAAGATTTTTGGTATCCAGCGCAAGAGTGCTCTCCATTTTCCCGACGGGAGCACGCTGTACCTTGTTGATTATTGCTCGCAAAGTCGTTTCCAGTTTGGTAATATATTGACGCCAGTTCTCTGAACACCACTCGAAAGCAACAAGGTGGGTAGTAAGACTTGCGGAGAAAGAGCCTTGGATGTCTACCAACGCCTCTGTTGTTAATTCCTCATATGAACTCGCCGCGTCGGTGATCCGATTTTTCATCTCGGCATTAACGCTGATGTTTACCCAAAGTGACCGGCCAGACCGGAGGTCGAAAGAGTGATAGAGGGCTGTCTGTCGGAATGAACCCGCTGAGTTGTTTCCAACAGATGACTCCACGCTCCATAGATTGTAACAGAGCTTGATCTCCAGACCAGATCGACCCAGCCGTGGAATTTCGAAATTCTGGACTTTTGACGCCACTAGATAGTTCTCGTGACGGAAAGATGTATAATGGAACTCCTTCCTGTTCTGCGACTGCCCAAAGCCCAGTAGGAGATCCACAAAAGGAGCCATGACTTGAAGAAACGACATGCTGAATACAAACATCTCTTTTGAACAGTCTAGAGGTGCTCGGGAGTGTTCGGCTTCGAAGAATCTGGTTCGAATAGTCAGCACTGGCCAGCGGTCCTGGGTAGAGGGGAAGGTGACTTACACATGTCGACATATCGGGTCTTTACGGTTGATTCGGAGATGTCGCTTTAAGTCAACCAGGCTACTGCACTTTGTTGAATGGAAGCCATGTTCCCCATGAAATGCTTCAAGGAACTCCACCAAGGCATATTCAGGATTGGGATCAAAAAGCCGCTCTTGCACCTCGGCGATTCGCTTTCGATATGACTGCGAAGTGTGTCGAAAGCATTTTGAGCGGAAAAGGTTCGAAGGCCATGCTTCTGCGAAGTCACAGCAGGATTCAAGCTGGTCGTAACAGTCGACCATGGTGCTCGGGGTAGACATTTGAGAAGCTTGTGTGTTGCGCAGTTAATACCCTTCTTCCACGGAGACTCTTACCTGGCTGAGGCAACGAGGGATCTTATACACGAAGTGGTTGAGGGGATGCGATTGCTTCGCCGGGTGTAATTTCACTTTTGAGTATTCGCATCGCGGCTATGTTGTTACCCCCCAAATGTTCAGTGAGCCTGGAGAGCAAAATAAAGATGGCGAAGGAAACAGCGGTGGCTGTACACGTTAACCAGGCATTTTCCAGCTGTCTGGCTCCGACATGGCTGCAAACAGAAAGGGTTGGCTACTTTTGTGCACAGCATTCGTGGAAAAAGGCTGGGTGTACAACCTGACCGTGGGCTGGCAAGGTCTACTGGTATTGAAGGGACGTCGTGTTATATGATCCATAGGATCGCCAATAAGTTCCATAGCTTCTGAGCAGGAAATGTGAAATGTGAAGACTCTGCAGATATTTTGGCATTGGTTGGTAATTGTTCGGAAATTGATCATTCCATGCATGTGGGCTGGGTGCTTGGTGAGGTCCAAATTGGCACAGTCGCCAGAGCTCGGGCAGTCCGCCTTGTTACGGGCGTAATATGTGATACAATCCGATTTGAAACAAAACAAGCTTTAATAAATAATCAGTGCGCACTCTGAGCAGCCAACAGCTGTCAAATAGACACTGGGCATTTAAGATGGTCAGTGGAAATGGTATAAAAATGAGGCTCATCTTGACTAGGTAGGTAGATACCTATGCAGTTTGGGGTTTATTCACAGCAGCACTGCCTAATTAACACCAGCCAGCCCCACTGGCTTCCCCCCATCCCACAAGAAGTCTGCCTGTCTTTCTACCCTAGGCTCCCAAATTTGACATCCAGAGAAGATTCCAATCACCAGACAGGTTTCTCCAAAATACAACAGAAAGCTCAGATGTCATTAATTCTGAAACCATCACATCACATGAGCTTATCCCCCCCTGATCAACCTAACATCACAGCAAGGCGCAGGCCTAAACCTTTTACCGAATCCTCTTCCTGCGCGTCCTGAGATTGGTGTAAATATGGTTCATCTCGGTTGGTGTCAATTCATTGGGGATCCAGGCGATATAGACGTCGTTTCTATGTGTCTGTGCACAAGCCGGGTTAGAAAAGGTAGCTGAAAGCAGAGAGGGCAAACCGACTGCGTGGAAAAAGCCTTGACCCACCTCAAGTTCGATGTATTCGGTGTACTCTGGAAACAAAGTATAAAGGTAGTCACGGAGTTTCTCCCATTCTAGCCTGTAATTATCAACCTCTTGTCTGATCATCTGTGGGACCTGGGCATCCATCTTTGTGGAAACTAGATACCGGGTAAGCTTAACAATGTAAGGCACTTGGAGTGAGAGAACGGGAAGAATGGCGAGGCATTCTTGATCTTCCCAACCCACTCAAATGGGAACTCACGTTATTATACCCTACCCAGAACATCCTCCTCCCCCCGCGCAGATATAGACCGCCCACCATTGTTCTACACCCAATGCAACCTTTTACCTCCACTGTCGGACGCCTTCTCAGAGCCTTGTCGCCCAACCTAGCTTTTTCTCACCATGGCAAGGCTCGCGGCCACATTGCACGGCCGCCACCAAGCTCCGGAGCATGCTGGGCATCCCGCCGGCGAAGAACTCCACAGGCTCGATTGGACAACCATACGTGGGTTATCTGCACTTGCATGCACTCTACCGCCCAGAACTACATATGTCTTAATAACACATGTTATGGCGCTGCTGCACAGCATCATCAAAAGCATACAAGTCCAATCAACCGGGTGCCTGCCCCGCTTCTTCTCACGGCAGTATGCATATCAACCTCGAAAGACACACTATCGTCGAGGGTGGTGTGATGAAACGCCATCTTTTTGCAGCCTCACTCTGAGGACTGTGTCTTAGCCTGCTGCCGGCCAAGACGTTCGTGGATGGCAGGCTGCTATCTGAATCACTCACCGAATAAGCTCAGATAAATCGAAAATGGTCCCCAAGACCTCTGTTTTTAGGATAGCATAACCACTCATGCTGGTGACATTGAGCTCGTTGGTTGCCACGATGTGATGGGGACTGTAAACAACCCAACCTGCCGTTGCGGCAAAGTGCTACGATAAAAGACAGTGTCTTTCTGGTTACTCCAATATAGGACACGAAAAGCGTGTGATCGTGTCGGGACAACCTTAGGCTCGGGGTGTGTTACTGAATTCCAGTATGTTACAGTATGTTACCGATCGCACACGAAGAAGAGGTCTTTAAATACACATAGCTAAGAACTCCGGCCTAAACCCGGCGCCTTAGACTGACCAGCCGTTATTGGCGGGGGACTCAACAAACCGGGCATGTAGAAGCAGCAAGCCAGCCCTCAAATGCCAGAGCTTTATGTAATTTACGATTTAAATGGCTATAAGTGGTATGAACATCATGGCCTGTCTGGGATATACAAAGCATCGTTTCCCCCAGCCTACACCCCTTTCTTATCTGGCAGAGCTCATAACCACAAAGATCTTCCTGAACACTGCCCTCCGATCGTACTCGCAACATCCGGCAACGCAGGGCTGTGTCTCTCACCACGGCAATGCATGCTTGGACAGCAACTCACCGCTGCCCACTAAACTAAATAATCACTACAACATCATGAAAGCCAGCAAGAATGCCAGAGCACAAAAGCTCACCGGGCGTCGGACGACTTCAATAAGCCTTCCCCTCCCTGAGACCTCAGACTCCATCTAGCGTGTGTTTTTTTTACTTTTAATAAGCCGCCACCCGCGCCCACCCATTGATAGGTTAAGCTAGACAGCGAGTGCGCAGCCGACCCTACCCAGCCACTAATGTAATCTCCTTCTCCGGCCTTGAGTCAAACACCTTACCCGAGCGAACTTCCTAATTTGGCATGATCCACACAAACATGAGGATTAAAACTTTTGTTCTTGTTGGCAGGGAAGTAATATACTGCCTAGCCATTCTCCCAAGATGAAAACATACCTGCTCTATACACAACAACTCAGTAATTAGGATCTATCATCTGTCTTATACACAACTCCTCCACCCCTCCCTCCCCCTCCTCATCTTCCTCACCAGCAGTCGCCGTCTAGCCCCCTAATCCAAATCATCCGGCGAAGTGACCGCCTCCTTCTTGACCTCCCCATTCTTCTTCTCCCCCGGATACCAATCCACCTCACCACCCGGCAACAGCACCCCCGTGCGGTCATAATAACTCCTCGCCCGAATATACGGATCAACCCTCCAGTAATCCTCCCTCATCTTGTCCGCAATCTCTTCCCTCCTCTTCTTCACCCCCGCATCCGCAGTCTTGATCCACTCCATCGTAGCCTCCTCATATTGCTTGTAAAGCTCCGCCCTCTGCCTCAACAGCTCATCTCTCGTGGCAGTATCCTTCATCTTGTCGTTCTCACCCGGCACCGGCTCGACATACTTGTAGGACCAGTCCTCCTGCCCGTCAAGGTCCTTGGGGATGTGCTTGAGGGGAATGTACTCTTGCATCTCGGTGGCGTTATTGGTAAAGTGCACCTTGTTGGCGACGACGGGGTCGAGCCAGCCGCGGATGACTTTCCAGATGCCTATTTTTCGTAAGTATCAACCGATAAAAGAGGAGGATCGTTAAAAAAAAAGACATACCCTGAAAAATCCACGGAGCCTTGTGAACCAGCACAGTCCCCAAACACTCCGGATAATTAGCCTCAAAGCACTTAATCATAAACTTGACAGGCGTATAGTCCATATTCGCCATCGAGAATCCCGTCATGTCAAAAACAATCGTCTGGTCCCCTTCATCGTCAGCATGCAACCCACCACCACCACCTTTAAATCCCATCCCCCTTGTTTCCAACTTGCGAATAAAACTCACCGCCGTATCAACCCCCCCCCTCAACAGCATCCGACAAGTCTCAATCAAATACACCGTATACCTCTCCAGACTCTCCTCGCTCTGCTCCCCCGCCTTGTGCAACCTCACATTCACAAAACACAACGGCCTCCCCTGCTTGTCACATCCGTGAACATAACTGATCCCCTTCCTTATCTGCGCCAAAAAGTCCTTGCTGATCCCATCATTCTTCTCCACCGCCTCCAGCTCCCCATTCTTCATGATATCTCCATCCACATCCATCTCCTTCGCCCTCCACGCCATCGTCGACACAAGCATAATCAACGCCTTTTCCACATCCCACTTACGAGCGCGGAGAAATCGCAAAACCAAAGCATCAGGGTGGTCGTGCTTGACCATGCTCCAGATGGTATCCCTAATTGCGGAGGGGGGGTAGGATTGGAGCGTTTCGTAAAAGTGCTTTGTTTGCCCGTACTTGTCTGCCTCCCCATCCTTTGATCCGAGGGAGAGCTGGATGGTGACAGGGGCGCCGTCGGCGGCGGTGGTTGGGGCGGTAGAAGAAGTCGTGGACGCGGCGTCAGATTCCGATTTGTTGGCCTTGCTGGAGCGGGACCAAAGGGAGGTCATACGGGACTTTTTCTTTTCTTCCTCTGCTGGGGGAGCGGAAATAGTGGTTGTTGTCTGAGGGACGTTGGCAGCAGGAGCTTGGTTTTCTTCGCCTACGCGGCACACTTGGAAGATGAGTTTCCAGAGCTGGCGGAGCTTCTCTTCCTGCTCCGAAGTGAGGTTGCCTGGGCGGCCGGCGGCGAGTTCGGAGGTCATGGCTGTGAGGTCTTCGGGGGTGATGTCTTGAGGAGGTTCAGAGTGAGAGGTGGGTTTGGGTGAGGTTTTGTGGTAGGAGTAGTAAGCTGAGTATACTAAGCCAACGGTAAGGGCAGCGAGTAAAAGTGCTGAAGCGGAGCTCTGGAGAGGTTGCCTTTGCTGAAACTGCCGCTGGACTAGAGGTGAGTTTTCAGTCTTGGGTGAGCTTCTGAGGTCACGTTTGAGTGAGGTGAGCGATGATGACGTTGAAGAGTTGACCTGGTTAAATCGTATGTAACGATGCGCGGAAGAAACACCGAAACCCTTTTTTGACGTGAATAACAATATACGGGAGGAAGCAGACCGCGAGACACTAAAAAGCAGCGAGGTCTGCATAAGGCGAGCAGGTGGTTTGATCACACTCTGATCACGGCTGAACAGGAGAGACCCAACAAGGCCAAGCAAACTCGGAAAACGGCCGAACAATGATTTGCGAAGGAGACCTGGCTATCCCGGACGTGCCGTGTCAGCTCTCAGGGCGCAAATAAAAAAATGACATTAAATGCAGGATAGATCGTAGATACAAGTGGAGGCGCAGCGGGTGGTTACGTACCTACGTTGAAAGGTGACACTACCTACACCGGCATCTAAACTCCAGAGGTATCCTAGGTGATTTCGGAGTGAGGTGACCGGAAGGAAGAGAGACGGACACAGGACACGGAAGGGTTGAAGAGACGGCAAAGATGGACGAAGCGGAGCGGAAGCCGGTATGGAATTTGCAAGAAAACGGGCCATCAATTGGCAGCGGGGTACGACGACATCGATATCGAGCAACGGAAACCCGGTCCTCGGGCCTCCCCTGGAAAATTGGAACTGGGCACTGCAGGAATCCCAACCAGCAGGAACAGGGCAATACTCCTGGATTCAAGAACCGGGTTTCCGGAGAGTTTTGGGTGCCCGCCGCGCCGCTTGGATCAAAGGGGAAATTCCCGTCTTCTAAAGCTCATCTCTGTCTTGCCGGTGCCTCCGAGATATCCAACCTGTCCTGCATGAACATCTCCATCTCTTGAACCCCGCCATCCCGCTGCCTCAGCCTGTTTTAGCGCTTCTAGCCGTAGGTGGCACGTGTCGCATTTTTGAGTGATGGCGGGGCACCAAATTGACAAGGCCAGCGCCAGCGCGTCATCGCGTCCCATTGCTAGCTAGCCCCGCTTGCATTCGGGCATCAAAGTCCAAATTCAAACAAAACAAAGTAAACACCACCCGTCACCATGCCGTCCGACGAGAGGGAAAGAGACAGACACGGCAACAGAGAACGGCGCCCCCGTTCAACATCACGAAGCAGACCAACAACCCCTCTCCGACCCTCCTCTCGCTCCTCGTTTCGCGAATCAGCCCGATCTAGTGTCCAGGGCGATAATGCGTCCTTCCCGCTCAACGCATTCGAGCCCGCCTTTGCGGAGCTTTCCGATGCCATGGCCGACCTCGAGGCGAACATGATGCACTTCCAGCTGATGCACGAGTCGTTGGCGCGCTTTAGCGAGAGTTTTGCCAGTTTCCTCTACGGGCTCAACATGAATGCTTTCTGCGTAGACTTTCCAGAGGGGCCAATGGCGGAGAGTTTCAGGAGGATGAGGGCGCGGGAGCAGGAACAACAGTTACAAGAGCAGCAACAGCAGCAGCAATCAAGTGATGGCTTTGATGGGGACCCTACTTTTATGTGGGTATCTAGACATCAGATGGCAGATGTCAGACAGCTAACTTGGGTCTAGGACAACCGATACATCATTCGCCGAACCAGCGAGCGTCAAGAAGCCAGCCCCGAAATACTCTGCAACAGGTCGCGCATCCCGAGTACCACCGCCCTCAGTTAGGGGGACAACATCGTCAACGAGGGGAGGAACGACAAGAGGGGGTGCGCGTGGCGCAAGTAGTAGTACTCGAGGAACAAGGGGAACAAGTAGTACTGCCCGAGGTCGGGGCCGTGGCGTAAGATGACGCTTGGCGGATCAAAAGGCCGGGAAGGGCTTATGCTTGTGTCTATGGCGTGGAAACGGTCAGACGGATGCGCCTCTGCGGTAATAGCGTGTGCCAACATTCGGGCCTTATTCGACGTCGCTGGACAAGTGTTGCGGAGCAATGCTAAATCCGGACCGTCAGGACGCTTCCACAGCCTTGTCGAGATAATCCTTGACCCGCTTGAGACACTCCTCCTCGCCAGAGTTGACCCACGGCCCAATCACGGCGACAGTCTTATTTCTCGATTTATGGCCCTGGGTAATTTCCAGGTTGGACTTGGGAAGGTCAAGAACCTGTCAAGCCAGTGTCAGAAACAATCCGAACAGATTATCTTTTCGGCGCAGAAGTACCTCGCTGAGAACCTTGATGACTGCTTTATTGGCCTCTCCCTCTCTCGCTTGTGCAGCTACACATATCTCCACTGCATCTTCGCCCACCGAAGCTACACCCTCGCGGTTCTTGCTGGCTCCTGGCTTGACATTGCAGTGCATGTAGAGGGTGCCGTGGGGTGATTTCTTGGTCCCGACGACGTACCACATGGCGCGGGAGGCCATCTTGCTTGATATTGTGTCTTTGCAGTCTTTGAGGACCCTCCGTGCAGGTGTTTGTACCTAGAAAAAGGCCAGGGTTGAAGGTGAACTGATCTGGTCGAGATGTATCCGTAACCCTGAGAACCGAAAGTGCTCCCACGGGATGGCCCAAGCTCCCTTCAACCCTTGTATTCTGACAAGGGGCTGGTGATGTCATTCGTCTAAAGCTCCCTCCCCCGCCCGCCAGTTGCTCTCGCCAATTCCAACTGACCCGACGTCTACCACTCCGCGCTCGGTTACAGCGATATTCTCCCGCCTGTTCCAATCTCCGTACATATTGCACCTTGTCTCTCCCCAAGGTCAGGTCCAGTCTTTCCCCAAACAAACCTCACCAATTCCAACTGAATATCACCACAAGGATGTCCCTCCTCCGCCCCCTCGCCCGCGCGGCCCTCCGCCCCGCTACCACCCCCCTTAGAGCTTTCTCTACCACCACGACCCGGTTCATCAAGCCGGGCCAGCCCCTCCCCGACGTCGGCGCCATCCTCCACGAGTCCTCCCCCGGCAACAAGGTCAACCTCGCCGATGAAGCCTCCAAGCTCAACAAGATGATCCTCATCGGTGTCCCCGCCGCGTTCTCGCCAGCCTGCTCGGCGACGCATGTGCCTGGGTTTCTGGCCCACCCCAAGGCGGAGGAGTATGACCAGGTGGCGGTGGTGAGCGTGAATGATGTTTTTGTGATGAAGGCTTGGGGGGATGTGTTGAATCCCGAGGGGAAGGAGAACGTACGTGATAACAGATAAATAAAAGAGACCTATAAGAGCTAACAAGAATGATAGGTGCGCTTCCTGGCTGATCCGTCTGGCGAGTTCACCAAGGCGCTTGATATGTTGTGGGATGGAAAGGCTATTTTTGGAAATGAGCGGTCGAAGAGGTTTACGATTATTGTTGAGGGCGGCAAGGTGAAGAGTGTGGCTGTTGAGCCGGATAACACGGGTACCAGTGTTAGTTTGGCGGAGAATGTGTTGGGTAAGGCTTGAGCTGTTCCCAAATGAAGTTCTCCAGGGGGGGGGGGCGGTGTCATATGATACAGATGTTGTTTGTTTGCCGCGGAATAAGAGATGAGGCGCTCAAAAGCCTTGATTTTACCACATTTTGCAAGAAAAGAAAATGATAACCAAAAGGCCTGCTATTTTTTGATCCTAAAAAAAGACAAGCCAAAACCATGCCTAATGTACACATACAGCATTATATATATACACATATTCCCATTCAATCTTTTCGGTTACCCAAGCCAACCAACCCATAACGACCACCTTCCCAAAACCTGTTAAGGAAATCTGCTCTTCTCTACTGTTCTCTCTCATCCGATCCTCAGACTTAGAGCATGGGCTTGAGGTCTTCGGCAACGTGGAAGGGTGCCTCGGTCTTGGCCTTGATCTCCTCGACGGTGACGCCGGGGGCGATCTCGATGAGGGTGAGGCCGTGGGCGAAGTCGACGTCGAAGACACCCTGTTGGACACTGTTAGGATCCAGTAAGTTAAGGGGGGGGGTGTGATGAAAAACTTACAAGCTCAGTGATGATACGGCTGACGCAAGCCTTGCCGGTCAAGGGGAAGGCGCACTGCTTGACAATCTTGGGGTTGCCCTTCTTGTCGGTGTGCTCCATGGTGACGACGACCTTGGTCTTCTCGGGGTTGGAAACCAAGTCCATGGCACCACCGAAGCCCTTGACCTTGCCGGGCAACATCCAGTTGGCGAGGTCACCGCTGGCGCTGACCTGCATAGCACCAAGAATGGTGAGGTTGATACGGCCAGCTCTGATCATACCGAAAGACTCCTCAGAGCCGAAGACAGAGGCGCCGGGGCGGAGGGTGACAGTCTCCTTGCCGGCGTTGATAAGATCGGCGTCCTCCTCGCCCTTTCGTGGGTAAGGGCCAAGACCAAGAATACCATTCTCGCTCTGGAGCATAACCTCCACATCCTCACCCACAAAACCCGGAGCAAGCATAGGCATGCCAATACCAAGGTTGGCATACATGCCATTCTTGAACTCCTTGGCAGCTCTCTTAACAATCATCTCCCTCTTCGCCCTCGTCTCACCGCTACCCAACGCAGCAGCAGCCTTGGGGTCAGCCTCCTCGTTGGGGTCCTTGGCCCACGTGTACTTCTCAATCCCCTTCTCCGCAGTAGACTGAACCACCCTCTGGACATAAATCCCAGGCAAATGCACCGCCTCAGGCGCAATCTCCCCCGGCTCAACAATATTCTCCGCCTCCACAATCGTCATCTTTGCGTTCCTCCCCATCGCCCCGTTGAAGTTGTTAGCCGCCAGCCTAAACTGGCAGTTCCCCAGCCTGTCCGCCTTGTACGCCTTGACAAAAGCAACATCACCCGCAATCGCATGCTCAAGCAAGTAGCTCTTGCCGTTAAAAACCTTCACATCCTTCGGATAAGAAAACTCATCCGGTGTACCGTCGGGTTTATTCCTCAGAGGCAACTCACCCGTCTGAACCACCGTGCCAAAAGCAGCGGGGGTGTAAAAGGCGGGGATACCCTTCCCGCCGGCGGCGCAACGCTCGGCGAGGGTGCCCTGGGGTGTGAGCTCGAGCTCGATCTCGCCGGTGAGGTACATCTTTTCAAACGTCTTGTTCTCGCCAATGTACGAGGCGATCATCTTTTTGACTTGCTTCGTCTTGAGGAGCTTGCCGAGACCCGAGGTGTCGGTGCCGGCATTGTTGGAGACGGCGGTGAGGCCGGTGAGGTCGGGGCGGTTGTGGACTTCGTTGATGAGGGTGTCGGGGACGCCGCAGAGGCCGAAGCCGCCGCAGAGGAGGGTCGAGTTGGGCTTCATGTCCTTGATTGCTTCGGCGGCTGAGGGGTAGATCTTGTTGATCTCGTAGCGGCGGGGGGTGAGGGAGAAGGCGCGGGTGAAGAGGGCGCCGTACTGGGGGGTTTTGCGTGAGTAACATGAGTGATGAGCTATTCTACTTTACTACTCACGTTCTGGCCATATTTGGCGTAGGCCCTGAGGGTCTTCATGCGCAGAGCGGTGGAAGGCATCTTGACGGCTTTCACTTTACGATGAGAGTGTGAGTTCGGAGTTAAGAGAGAGCGGGTATAATGTGGGATAAAAGCCACAAGCGGTTGAGGTACAACAGTCACAAGATGTGGGGGAGGAGTAACTGTTATAACTTTGTAACCCAAAACTCAGGATATGAAGATGGAGAGAGGAGAGAAAAAAAAAGAGAAAATGGGAAAATTAACGACTCAAAAGAAAACATAGCCTACTACAAGCGCCTACGTAAACTCAAGTCATCGGAGAGCCGCGGGCCCATTTCCTTCGTGCGCGCGAACTTCCAACGAATGGGTTCATTACCCACGAATCCCGTCAATGGCCGACGCCAGTAGCCGTGGTCCCTGCTTCCCCGGCATGTCTCCGCCCCTCGGAAAGGCTGTTCGGCAGAGGGTTGAGAATTGACCCTGACCCGGAAACCGTCGGCCAAAGTCTTTACGCGGGGGTGGTGGGTGGTTCATCAAGGTTGCATATATATGCAGCTGCGGGTAATTGTTTAAGGCCGCCTGGCTGTTTCAATCTATGCTCTCTCACGTAGCTATACTCTCGGTCTTCGGAACTCTAATCACTTTGAGCATATGCTCCCTTTTATTATCTATATGCTCTTCTAGACAAAACGAACAGTCTCACCAGCTCCCCGGCGCATCACCTAAAAAAATGGACCGAAACTCGGCGCTGTGGATCCCTTCCATCCCAAACCCCAGATGCTAAATGCCGGTTCAGCCTCCGGGGCCACTTCTACCCCACACGAACTGCCATCCACGGGAACCAAGCCAAGACAAAAAGACATCACAAGGCGGGGCACAATCACGACGACCGGCCACCACGTCCGCATGACGACTTTTAGAGAAGTGATGTGTTAAAATATACTAATCGTCTCGCTCGACCTTGAGCCTTGATTCTATGGCTATAGCTCGTCGCTTGAATTTCTTCATAAGTAAAAAGGGAGTCAACCAAATAAGAGCCGATAACTAAAAAGTCCATATAATGATTTCCCCCTCCCCCTTTCCTCCATGTTTCCCGATAATGCGCATTACCCCTTCTCTCTAATACCAAAACAGACAAGAAAGCTTGAGACCTAGCTCCCTTCCCAAAGCAATGTTAAACTCCCACCAATGTGTTCCTAACCCATGCCCGCCAAAAAGACCGTTCTCAATGACTCACGCATGGTCAAAAAGATATCGTCCGACGCTGAAGGCAAACACTAATAAACCCCGAAGCCCCGTAAAAGCCCATACCGCCCACCTAGGCTACGCCACCACGAGCCGCTGAAAGGAACAAAAAACAGAATTGCGAAGTAAAGGCAGCAAGAGTAGCGCACGGCCATACTGAATGCCGGGTCTGGTCTAGATTCTCATCCACTCAATCACAAAGTGCTGAAAAGTCGTCGTCGGATATCGCAATGAAGAAGCCCCAAAAGTCGTCGTAAAAAAGCGCCAAAAGTTGTCGGGCCTCTCTGGTGTCTCTGGTGTCTCCATGCGTGACTCTCTGGGTATCTCCACGGGTGACTCCTACTTACGGGAGCTTGGCCCGCTGATTGGCGTCGGATTGCTGAATTCCACATTGAAGATCCATTTCCCTAACACACATTGCTGTTAACTTTGACACTATGCGACGGGCATAGGTAGGTAAGTAGGGCCGAGACAAACCTTCTGACAAATTCCGGGCCGTGTCGTCAAGCAAGATGATCCGCCGCTTGTTGCAGTAGGATGTCTTGTCCATGATGTCCACCTTGAGCCTGCTATCCGCAAGCTCAGTTACGGGCTTCTCAAACATCTCGGAAAGAGACTCGACCGCCAACTCCAAGTCCTTTTGATTGTCCTCAAAAATCGTTGTCAAGTTGTTCCTGGCAAGATAAAAGGCAAAAGCGTACGTCCACATGAGCGTCTGTCGGCAGGTCTGCAGTGCCATCGAGGCTGCGCTGAGATATTGAACCTCGATCCACGACATGCCCGATTCCTTTTGCAGCTGAACCATCTTCTTCTCCGTCTTCGCAAAAAGGTCCTTGTCCAGGCGGGCAGACTGTTCGTGGTTGGCGTAGCGGTTGTAGTAATGGAGATAACGCTCCAGAGAAACCCTGGATTTGGCCTGGGCATCACGGGCATCCGTCCCGCTCTTTTCCTCAAACCTGTTGCAATTGTACCAGCTCGTCCCATGCTCCGACCACAGACCCATGCACATCCAACAAAACTCATGCTTGCACTTACGACACGTCATGTGGTTGCAACCTCCGTTTTTTTCGATGGTGCTATTGCATTTGGGACACTCCTTGGTGTTGGCCGAAATCCAATTCGCCGTCTCGCTGTCATCGGCACATTTCTTGAGCCACTTCTTTACCAACTCGCAAGGGGCAGGTTGGTGATCGTTCAGGATGCACCCAAAGCAAAACCGATGGCTGCACGAGCAAGCGACCGTGGGCACGATCCTCGTCAGGTCCTTCTTCTTGATGCCACACTCGATGGCGTTCTGGCAGTCAGGGGCGGGACACCACTTTAGCGTTTCCTTGTCTTCGACATAGGTGCGGTTGAGCAGTTTGTGGTATCGTTCCGTCAGCTCGGCGGTTACGAGCAGGTCCAATGATCTAGCATCGATGATGATGTTACAACCCTCGGCAGGACACTGGATGCGCGCAGCCTCGCCTTCCTCTCGGATCTTTTGACCCAGATAATGGCGGTAACAGTCGACGCAGAAGCGGTGGCCGCACTTCAAGGCAAACGATTGTAGGCCTTCCTCATCCTCGCAGCAGATATCGCAGCAGAACCCGGGTATCACTTCCAGCTTTGGTGGAGCCGATGTCGTTTGGGAGAGACCAGCAGCCTCAAGAGCCTTCTCCCGGTGGTCCATGTACTGCTCCAAGAGACGCTCTTTGTTCCACCTGAAGTGCCGCAATAGAATTGCTGATTCCTCTTTTGAGATGTTCAAAATCATGTTTACTTCGTCGATTAGAACGTCTTGCTGCTGTTGTATGTCCTGCGGCTCGTACACCCTGAAGCTGACATCGTAAGGCGCTCTCTTATTCTGGCCTATGTCTTGCTGGATGCCGAGATCCGGATCTGGCTCGTCGTCGAATCCGAAGTCTATGCAAGGCTGTGTGTCAGTGCTTAATCGGGAGAGTAGGCGCAAGACGGGTTACTCACCATCATCACCAGAGATGTCATTGTCGCTGTCATCCGGGAGCATATCATCCTCACTAGAGACAGTAGACATGAACTCGTCGTCAGTGTCCATGTTGGAGGAGGTGGTGACGGGAGTGGGAGGAGCGGTATCTGGGCCAGCTGAAGCGAGAACCCTCTTGTTAGGAGCCGTGATATTTCCAGAGGAGATCGTCGCCTCAGCGGCTTTCCGCTTTCTTGTGGCGGGAATGGTGCCGGCTTATATAAGAGGATGGGGCAGTGTCGGTAACGCCACCCGAGGCGAAGAAGGTCGATGGGAGAGCGGGAGGATGACGGGAAACGATGGCTTATAAGAGCGGTGGGTAATCAGACGAGAGAAATGTCTCCCGTTGTTCTTGATTTGATAACAATAGCACCGTATGTAGAACGGATCGAAGACACGGCGGCCGGTGGGTGACTGGCTGGCTGCTGGGCTTGTTACTCGTCACTAGCGACCGAGAGTATGCGCGGGTTCCTTGGTTCGGAGGGTGCTGGGCAACCGGGAGCTAAAATGACAGGTGCAGGGCACTGAGAATGTGGTTTATGGTTGAAGAGGACAGAAAGAGCAAGAGGATGTGATGCTATGAGGCATCCGAGGGTCGGGCTGATGACAGAGGGTGGAGTTGGCAGTGGTCAGGCGAACAACAGCCAGCAGTGAGCAGTGAACAGTGAGCAGTCGGAAGGTGGGAGAGACCAAGAGCAGCTAGGCTCCAGCCAGGTGGGCCAGAGACGGATTATGTAAGGCTGGAGTCATTCGGTGATCCCTCTGTGAGCGTGGGCTGCCTTTTGGAAGGCCCCTGCACAGGCTGCCCCCACAACGCCCAGGCTGCGGGCCCCCTGCGAGCTGGCTGCTGGAAGCCCCACTGAATGAAAGGCGTCTCGCATTCACCTCCAGCAATTGCTGTTATCGACCCTTTGAACCTGTCCTTTGAGTCAACACACAGAAAAACCATTCATTTCGACTTTTCCGGGTTAGGGTTCAAAATCAGTAACAATGGGCGATCGCTCTCCAAGACAAGACAGCCACAGGTCGCGTTCGACAAAGCACGACAGGAACAGGGAGCCAAGAGACGGCGCCGAAGACCGCAAAAGAAAGCATCGGGAAGAAGACACAGAGAGAGGCAGCAGCTACCGAACACGATCTCGCGAGCGCGGACATAGACAGCGCTCAAGGTCGCCAACAGGTCGGGATCGCTCAAGAGACAGAGATAGAGACAGGGAAAGGAGAAGGGAAAGGGACGGCCACAGAGATCGGGACCGAGATCACCGCAGCCACAGGGACAGGAGTGCGGAACGAGACAGCAGGAAGCGACGCGACGATGGCGACTCGGATAATGGCGGCAGAGACCGTCGGAGGCGCCATCGTAGTTCAGAGGGTCGACATTCACCCTCACGGCCGAGCCCACCGCGCGAGGCAAGGTCGGATAGCCAGCGAAATCTTGTCAAACATCGTGGCCCCTTGCCCTCCCAGGATGACTCTTTTGCAGTCAGTAACGGCGGCGAGCCTGAGAAGCCCAAGGAAAAGCCCAACTTTGGCAACTCGGGCGCCCTGGCTGCTGCTTCCAACTCGGTGACCCAAGCGGACGGAACGACAATCACCCTAAAATACCATGAACCAGCAGAGGCACGGAAACCTTCACCACGCGACGAGTGGAAGCTGTTTGTTTTCAAGGGCGAAGACATTGTTGATACTATCGATCTTGGCAGTCGCAGCTGCTGGCTAGTTGGGAGGGAGCAAGCCGTCGTCGATCTTCTTGCCGAACATCCAAGCATCAGCAAGCAGCATGCCGTTATTCAGTTCCGATACGCCGAGAAGCGGAACGAGTTTGGCGACAAGATTGGCCGGGTGAAACCATACCTGATAGACCTCGAGAGCGCCAATGGTACCATGCTCAACGGCGACAAGGTCCCAGAGAGTCGCTATTTGGAGCTACGGAATAAGGACATGGTTCAGTTCGGCTCCAGCACCAGGGAATACGTCCTCATGCTTGCGCCAAGGGCATAACGACCATCGATTGCACCACCCAGACAGTTTGACACCCAAGATCGTGGGGGTCATCTCGAGCCGAAGAAGCCCGTGGTAACCTCACCACGTCCAGTTGTCTTACAATTACTCGTATCGTGGTTTGCGCCACAAGCGCGGTCTCTGTTCACACCCCACCTGTTGATCTGACAAGCTCACTGTTCTCGAATTAGAGTTTAGCGCAGCTGGCGTTGTCCCACATGAACATTCTAGAGGTTGTACCGAACGTTGCTTGTCAACTATTGTCCGACTGCATGGCACCTTTGAGCATTCCCTGCTCGTAGTTGTATCCTCTCATCAATACGGCCGGTTTTCTCCAGGGTCAGCTGGAGCGCCCATATGTGATAGTCATCACCAGGAACGGCCGAACATGCAGTTCTCCATGGGACGCTGGTAGAGCAGAACAGCACCCTCAAGCCCTTGGTGTCACCCTGCCTCGTCCCAGCTAGACAAGGGCTACCGTTCAGAGTCTATCCTTCTCCAATTTAACGGCCATTAGTTCTCCCATCAGGGTCACTCTCGCCAGCTAGCAAGAAGTCTATCTTTTGTTTAAAAACGACCAGACCTGGCGAATTCGATGTCCCTAACGGAACTCGATTCGCGGACAGACTTCCCGAGACAGTATTCCATGCTTTTTACGTGCGTTTTCTTGCTCGCACTATTAGCTTTCTCAATGTCAGGTTTTTGAAGTATTGTCGTTTATACAAACCGTCATGTTCCACAAGTCTGACGTTAGCCTTTGCCCGCCACGCGCAACACTCGCATCTGAACAAGTCATCTTTGATAGGCAGCCCAGCCCCAGATGCAACCCACCCCCATGCGCTCAACTGCCGGTCACTCAAAAGTCACAGAAAGCCAAGGCGGGGACCGGTCCCGAATGTGGCACACAGCCTTGAGCCTGACAGCCTTGGGATGTGTGCTTGTGCGCAGTACCTCGCAAACTTCTGAGAAGGCTTCAGGTCACAGATACATCACGGACTCGAGCAAGACAAAGCCAATGGCATACACTCAAACTGCAACAATCTTGAACCAACAGCCGACGGACCGTTCCTTCAAGGTCCCTTTGGTCGAGTTGTTTCTGTGCCGGTCAAATGAAACAGGTTGAACGCTACCCCAACTACTTACTCCAACCAACCACTGCACATGCTCAGGTGGTCACTGCCAGATGGTCACTCAAACCACCTGGGCTCGTGACAGTTGCACTCTTTTTCCAACCTTGCTCCGTCGCATTTTGTCTTGCCCAGCTGCCTCAATGGGGCAAAACAATGGGCACTGTAGGCGCTCGTGTGTTGAGGTCCGCTGATGACTGTGATGGGTGATGTGCTGCTTTTCCATCCTACTTCTCGCCCGAAGATGAGCGGGCGTGTAAGTAAAGACTGAATCATGTCGCACACGACCGACTATTGTGTCTATGTTTCTGATGATCTGGAAAACCGGATTGGTAGTGGTTTCTATACAAGACTGAGCCTTGGTCGCCTTTTTTTGCTGGTGGCTTGTTGCATAGTAACTAGGCAAACTCGTGGTATAAGACTTTCTTTCACTCATTCGCTTTGATCACGGCTTTCACACCCAGTAGTTTTCTCCTTGTCGTCGTGGATGCCAAGGAGGAACTAATGGTCAACTCTCACTTTTTTTTCATCTCATTCCTGTCCGTTGAACGGCTCTCCACAAAAAGCAAGAAAGAATGGTGAGTGCTTACATATATCATCATGTTCTATCCCGTCTTCAGTGTTGTCGACAAGCGGCGCGGACGGGTAGACCACACCAGTCTCACGCACCGGGGCCGTTCTCAACAAAGACCCCTTTCAACCCGTCACTAACCACCATTTAGGACCAACTCGAAGGCAAAATCACCCTGCCCCCCTCCCGCTACGAGTTCACAACTGTCTACGCCCACCCCCTCGCAAAAGCAGACATCGTCCTCGTCCACGGCCTCAACGGCGACCCCCTCAAGACTTGGACCTCGCGCGAAAACGGCGTCTACTGGCCCGTCGACCTCTTGCCTGCCGCACTCAAAGACCAACATGCGAATATCCTCGTCTATGGGTACAACGCCGATGTGTACTCCTCCCGCAAAACGCCTAACCGATCCCCGTCAGATAACTTCATCCACCAGCACGCTCAGTCACTCATCACCTCTTTGACTCACCACCGCAAGGCCGACGGGACGGAACGTAACCCCATCATCTGGGTTGCCCATAGTCTAGGGGGCATACTGGTCAAGAGGGCGTTGCTCTACTCCAATGATGTGAGAGCCCATCACCAGGAGGATTTCAGATCCGTTTTTGTCAGCACATACGGTATCATCTTCCTGGGGACACCACATAACGGCTCCGACATCGCAATATGGGGACGGGTTCTCCAGGCGATGAGCGAGGTGGCGATCCCGAGAAAGTTGTTTGAAACGCAGAGTGTGCTGCTCAAGGCGCTGAAGAAGGATAACGAGGGGTTGCAGGAGATTAATTCCCATTTTTTGGATGTGTATCAACGGTTTAGGATCCAGATGGTGCATGAGGGGCATACTAGTGATGTCAAGGGGAGCAAGATCTTGGTTGTTGATGCTGCGAGCGCGGGGCCTCAGCTGCCGGGGGTGACGTATTATGGGATTGAGAAGGACCATTCGGGGATGTGCAAGTTTGAGGGGGAGAATGCGCCGGGGTGGAGGAATGTGAGCACGACTTTAAGGCAGTGGGTGGCGGATGGGGTGAATTTGATTCCGCCGAGGTGGTTGTTGGAGGAGAAGGATAGGCAGTTGAGGGCGAGCTTGGAGAATTTTGAGAGGGCGAGGACTTATGTGAGTTTTCTGCTGTGCCCTTGTGTCCATCAGATGTACTGACGGTTTCGACAGGAAAGTATGCTGGCTTCGGGTGCGCATCAGCAGGGAATTAGTAGGTCATCGCCTGGTCCGTCCGAGTGTGGTTGTGTTTGTGGACGGCAGTTGCTTATCCATATGACCCCTGAACGTTGCTAGGGTCCGAACAAAAGGGGACAGGAGAAGTGTCTTTTGGTTTCATCATCAAGTGTTGAGTAACGGCTGATAGTTTTCTGCCTCTAAAGCAGGCAACAATAATGAACTAGTCTCCCTCCGTCACCGCCCCCGACCCTCCCTCGTCGAGTCGATAACCTCCTTGTCTTCCTCCCCAGCCGTGATGATCGAGTCCATCCACTCCGACCACGACCACGAACCCGAACCGTCATCACCAACATCAGCTATTACACCAACCCAACCCTTACCTCCTCAGCAACTACCACCCTCGGAGGAACCCCTCTTCATTCACCCCGACCCCTTCCGCCCCAACAGCTTCTTCCTCGGCCGCACCGATGAGCTCCGCGGCCTCCACGAGATGCTCCAAGACCGGAAACGCCGCTCAGAGGGAACCTCCGCTGTCCTCATCTCGTGCCTCCCCGGCGGAGGCAAAACCCACCTCGCCCGCCAATATGTCTTTACCCACCTCCTCGACTACCCCGGTGGCATCTTCTGGATACGCGCCAAATCAAAGCAAGAGATTGAACAGATGTTTTGGCGGATAGCCAAGACTAACTCCCTTGTCTCCCTGAATACAACTACAAGGGAGGTTGTCTCGGCAGTCAAGGCCTGGCTGTCAAACAGACGTGACTGGCTGATGGTCTTTGACGGTGTCCAGTTCGATATGGACGGGCTGGGGGATTTCATACCTGACGGGAGGAACACCTCGTTGATTTATACTAGCACTGAAAGAGCGGTGGCGTCAGAGCCGAGGTGGGATAATCCGCAGGTTATTCACCTGGGGTTGTTGACGCCTAATCAGGCGAGGGAGCTGCTGCTTTTGGAAATGGAACGCAAACCGCCTTTTAGCCAGGAGGAGTTGGCTTTGGGGTTGGAGTTGGTGAATGCCATGGGAAGGCTGCCGCTGATGATTCACGTAGCGGCGCAGCATATCAAGGCTACGAGAGAGCCGTTGGGGCGGTACCTGGCTAGTTTCAAGAGCGGGAGGAATGGGCTGGGGGGGTTGCAGGCTTACCAGGCGGTGGTGAGGCAGTTGGAGACGAGAGGGGAGAACGCGAGCTTGAATTTGATTAGTTTGTTGTGTTTTTGGGATCAGCATGTTCCGGTGGAGATGGTGGGGTTGGGGATTGGGATGGGGGCGTTGGGGGATAAGGTTACGCCGGTGAAGACGAGGGATAGGGTGAGGGGGGGTGCGCCGAGTTTGGGGAATACGATGAGGGTGCTGATTGCGTTTGGGTTGGTGGAGAGGAATGAGGTTGCGGGGGAGTTCTATGTGGAGAGTTCGGGGGGAAGTACGGGGGGAAGAAGCTCCTCGCGGCAGAGTGGTAGTGGTGAGCCAAGTTTGGACATTCTCAGGATTCACAGCGTGGTTCAGGCTTTCTTTATGGAGAGCTTGCATCAGAGGAGGGAGGCGCATTTTTGGCTGGAGAGGTCTACAGCGATCTGGTGTAAGAGTTATGATGAGGCTGACTGGAGGATTAACTGCGGGTACGAGGGGCACGGTGGGTTTGATGGGGGAAGGAGGAGAAAGATTGGGAGGCTGCCGGATGACTATCGGAGGTATTGCGTCCATGGCGAGAAGCTGTTGAAGAATGTCAAGAGGTTTGAGAAGAGCCGGAGATATCCAAAACCGAATGGGATGGACAAGGCAAGGGGACAGTTGGAAGAGAGGCTGGCAAGGATTCGTTGGCAGATTGAGCAGGTGAATGTTCGGAGTGGTGAGCATGCCTCGGAGGACGACGATGACGAGGAGCCTGTCAGCGTCTTCGACCGCGTCCGGTATGGCAGTGGGACAGAGTCGCAGAGCGACGGGACTATCCAGAGTGGTGAGAGCCAGAACAGCTGGGAAGCTGAGTTGCGAAGCCCTGGATTCGAGGAGATGAACCCCATGGAATTTCCCGTTACCCAACTGCTGGAGGAAGACGACGAAGATCAAGGGGCGCCATACCCCAGCATGGCTTCCATGCCCGACATGCCAGAAATAAACCTTCCGGACCCAACGAGCAGCGACGAAGAGGACAGAGCAACAGTGGTCCCGCCGTTTCCCACCATCATGCCTTCAACCACAACAACCGTCGATGCCGCCGGCTTCTTTGCGAAAACCAAGAATCCCTCTTTTGAGGACCATGCTAGGCCAAGTTCCTGGCGCGACAAAACCGTCCTCGCCAATGCACGCGTAGCGCTCACCAACGAAGTCGCCCGGGCTTCCCTCCTAACCAGACGTGGTCCATCCCAGTCACGATGTCCCATCCCCAGAAGCGACTATCTCACAGCCAGAAGCGACGCTGAGCAGTCCCTCAACAAGATCAAGCTCTCCACACCACCTCCACCGTCTGTCGTCCCGCCTCCTGACCCAGCCCCATCTCGACCCAAAACATTAACTCTCCTGGGCCGCAACAGTTATTCCCTCCCACAAGCCCAAAAGACACCAGCCCCCGACTCCGAGGCCTTAGGGTCGGATTTCTCCACAGGTCTCAGCAAAATGCTGTCCGACTCCAAGACCTGGACAGCGGCAACGGTGAAGAAACTGCTTTCGCCGTCAAGTTCACCACGCTCCTCCCTATCAAAGTCAGCCCCCGCTCAAGAACGAGCAATTGCCCGACCGCCAGCACCCATATTCAGGGGAAGTGGAGACAGGGGTACCCGATCAGCAAACTCAAGCCCGGCGCACACCACCTCGCCTTTTCGACCACCGCCACCAATCAATGTGAGAAGGTGGGAGACTGAGGTGGACCACGTTAATGACAGGATGTCACTCTCCTATCCCTCCATCAACCTCCCTTCTCGACCACAAGGCTCGCCTCGGCGGTCAAATTTGAGTGTTGCCTCTTCGCCCACTCCTTCTACGTCGCCAAAGTTGACGACAGCTACGCCTACCATCCCAAGGAATTCCCCTGCTCTGGTCATGCCAGTGCCTAACTCATCTTTCCCCCCGCCGCCTACACTTCCAAGCAGCTCACGAGGAAGTGTTTCACGATATCGGGCTGTGAGTGGGACAGGCAGGGGAACGCCGTCACCACTGTCGACTTCGCCACCAAGAGCAGCAGCAGGAATTAGGGTTGGCAACGGGCAAATCGTTTCTTTTGGGAATACTAACAGGAGCCGGTCTTCAAGCCCTGCTACGACAGTGAGAGGTGAGAGGGGTAGGAGGAGCTGGGACTCGAGGATGAGTTTGGAGAGTGTGGATGATGTCGAGGGGGGTGGGGAGTCAGGGTTGGGGGATAGTGAATAACTGATCAGATTTTTCATTTTGAAGTTTCTTCTTTGTTTTGGGTATTGCTGGTTGTTTCCTGAAGTTTGGGTGGATTTCTTATTGTGTACCTCCATAGAAGTATTTGCATTAGGGGGCATATGTATCTTTGTATATTTTAGCAGCATTGATTAAGAGTGTAAGCATTAATCCAGGTATTTTTGTGCTTTGTTCTTGCGCTCAAGGTGAATGTGTAAGATACCGAAGAAGGCAGCTACATACCTAATTATTCTGCATTGGAGCTGAGCTCGGTTTAACAGAGGAGGGGTTCGTAGGTTCTACTGAAGGAAATTTAAGATAGTGGGTGCATAGTATGATGCCAGACAACCATCAAAAGCAAATAAGGGTTCTGTTACCTACTCTCTCAGCCGAGTTTTCCCTTGTTCTGCAATATCTTCTGTACCATCCACACCGTATCACCAAAGACATCATGTTGTCTGTGAAGAAACTAAGATCAGGCTCGGGCATACCTGTTGTACCACCTTACCACCTCCGGTAAGCGGGGAAGATGACAGGTACCTAAGGTAGCTTTCGGGAGAAAGCGTGGTGCTTAGAGTTCAAATAGCATTCCCCGCAGACCACAACCTCGTCGAGCACTTTTCCCTTTCTTCTCTGCAACAATAATCTCGGCTCCACTGAAAGAGAAAGACAACGACTTCCAAATTCACCACGAGCCAGCCTCAGTTGGCCTTTCTCAGCCAGAAAGCTGCATTCCTACACTCCGCTGTTAGCATTTCAATCTAAGCGATCCTGACCGCATCACGAAGTGCGGCTGCGAGGCTTTATCCTTCAGCACAAGAATCAGAATGGCATACCACATGGGTCCCATTATCACCTTCAAAAACATCATACCCTCGATTCTAACACATGGCATCGATGATTTTAGCACTGCGGAATATGTCCCCTTCCCTAAACTCCAAGGCTATTGGAATATCAAGCGAGTTGGCAACGTTCTCGATTCATGCAATGTGCAACGATACAACCTCGATGCGATTCAAAAACGCATCCTCCGTATCTTTTCCATTCTGGTGTATTCTACCACGCTAGAAGTCTGTATGGTCAACTGTATTTCTGGGTTCATGAACCTGAATATCGATGATCGTATCAACCCACTTGATGTCAACTGCTCGAAATACGAGGAAAGTGAGAGCATCTTCATTCTGGAGACAGCTGGAATCAACACTCGGGATATCTTCTATAAGTATCAGTACATGTTCAAGCCTGCAAGGCTGGGAATAATACACAACCTCAGTCTGATACCAAGATGTGTAGTTCCATGGCAACCTGGACCGGTCTTCGCGGAGAACAAACAGCGCCATCTATCAGAAATACTTTGTGAACGAAGATTGCGAATTCTATCACGAGGCTGTAGGTGAAACACTGCCCAGTAAACTACCTAATATATTCTGATCTTCAATGCTGACATTCTTTGCTCTTCACAGACTACGGTCTTGGTCAAAAGGACCCGAGCAGGAGAATGCCAGGATGTTACCTCATACCTAAGCAATGTATCGATGTTAAAATTCGTCACAAGCACACTGTAAGAATTCCCCAAATACTTCCTTCGGTACTATGGCTCCTTTGAATAAAATCATTGGGGCTACGTGCTACTTGGGCATCCCGATGAAGGCCACTAGGAAGGTTTCTTCTCCGAATACATAAACAAACCACCCTTCAGCCCCTCTGAAATACATGGTCTATGGCAAGCTATGTCAACCCTTGTGGACGCACTGTACCTTTTTCTGATTCTCGACCAAACTACCACTTATACTTCGCTTGGAATTCACGGAAATCTGACCCCGTTGAACATAGTAGTATCTCAAGCCAAATACTACAGCAACAAGGCTGAAAATGGCTACAAGTCTTCCTGGAAGTATAGCTTCAAATTTCGCGACCTCGGTATGATTGGCTTCGGTCGCAAACAGATGATTCAGGCCAAGAAGAAGGATAGATCGAACTTCGACGCACCGGAACTAGCGGAGCCTGATATGTACGGTCCCAATCTCACTACAAAAGCTGATGTTTGGTCCCTGGGACGCATCTTTTCAGAAATCTTGGTCTGGAGTCATTTTGGTGACTCTGGTCGGCTCCTATTCACGACATTATGCATGGGGGTAGGCGGGTACCGGCATATCGTGACACCAAAACCATCCCTGTCTTGATTGGCAACCTGTAACGGCCCTTCACACGCCGACTCGATAGCCTATCAACGCAAGTTCTTGGAGTAATTTTAGGATCAATGTTATGCCTTGATGGAAGGGAAAGAGGATGTGGTTTCGAACTTTCAGTAAAATTTCGCTCAATTTTAGACATGTCTAATGGAGAGGCGCTGGGAAGCCGCAATACCTGCATAACGGCAAGTCTGGGGAGTGAGTTGCATGACACCTCTCGCCGGAGGTTGCTTTGTCAGGTTCAGACGGTGTCTCGTGCCTCTGAACCGGCCCAGGCCATTGGTGATAGCTGGGTTTCGGATTGGCACAACAAATCCTCTCAAAACATCACCTCACAAGCCGCCAGCCTACCCCATAGCGAATCTCAGCACCATTCACTAACACCATCACCGGGCATCGAAATCACCAGTAAGAACCTCGGTGAAGATCGGGATGATGCCCAAGAACGCAAATCGGCATTGCTGGAACCCTCAGGGGTTGGTCAGACGGCCAGCACAGCAACCAGAACATCACCGCACCAGCACAACACATACACTCTCCACCAACATCTACAAGCTGCTCAAAACAAGTTTCCACCCGTTGATAGACAACAAGTTCCCGGCTGCGGTGCCCCCAGTCACATTGCCCATCACACTGCCAACAACCAACAGCGACCAAACGACTTCCAACGAAGATCCTACCCCGACAACAGCGTTGTTGACAGACCTCTACCAGCACACCTGCCCAGATTCCCTCTCCACCCCAAGTTACGATGAACCGGCACCCCCAACAGCCAGCACACCCGGCACAGCATCAATTCCAATACAACGCTGGCCCAAGCCACTCAACTTTCACAGAGCCCAGCACGAGTTACCCGGTCTACCAGGAGCAAACCTCGCCCCGCTGCTGCACAGCAACCTACACCTGTCATTTGGACTGTTTTTGACAGGCTCTGTTTTGGGAGCTCCAATCTTCTCAGCTATCCCCCTGAGATCCGGTGCCTAGGCCTGAACTGAATTATCAGAGTGGCGAATGAGTAACCGCAGGGTAGGGTTCAGGAGCGAAGTACCTACTCGACAGAGGCGGTTGCTGAGAATTAAGGAGGCCATCATGGAAAGGGAAAGGGGTGACAGGAGGGCTTGGCACAGCCCCACCAAGTCCTCGTCCCCAGAAGGGACTGGAATTCAGCCAATGGAATTCCATGCTCACTAACAGTGAGGTCAAAAGCGGAGCCAGCCGCTGTGGAGGGCCGTTCGGGCATTCGAGTTGTGCGGGGGCACCAACGCGCTGGAAGTCCGCTGGAATATCGCTGCAGTATAGCGGGCTGGTATGTGTGGAGGCAACCTACTGGAGGGACCAACGTTTGACGAACCTGGACTCGAGCGGCGTGGATGCTCTTCTGTCACACTTCACCTAAGTATATGGACGAAAGTGAGAGCGGGAATGGAGCGGGTTTGGGTGTTCAGGAGAGCAGTTCAAGTGGTATGTGAGAAGCCGTCTGCATCTGGGACACTGTCTCGGGTTCCCGTACAGAAAGGGGACAGCTGACTGGCGTGAAATAGTGGAATGGATATCGAGTGTGATGAAGTAAATGCTCATTCTCCAGATATCATGTGTTCCTAGAAGCGCGGCTGGTGGTATCCGAGCCTTGGAAATTTCGACCAGAGGCAGGATGATATTCTCACACTAATACCTCCAAAACATATCATCATTCCAGCATTGAAACCTTCCGATCCAGAGACTCAGGCACTACTCGATAGCTTTCAGGCACTGGAAAGGCATGCTGCTCTCCGTCTTTGGTGATGACTTCAGCCACTTGCTGGCAGCAAGGCGTCTGTAATCTGAAGTGCTGATGTCTGTCCACATATTTGAAGCCCATGCGTCAATCGTTTTATTATGCCAGATCCTCAACAACAGGATTGCAAATTCCACGAGAGCGTCACGTGGATCAAATTCAATCCTCGGGTCTCCAGGGCGAAGACACGCCTCGATAAAAGGAACCAAGGGGTGTTACTGTTAGCTAGTTCAACAAGTTGGATCGTCCTGCTGCTCCATGGTGAACTCAACCAGGCAGTTTATCGGAACTCGAGGGCGGATGAGGCGATGTCTAGAACGAGAACGGTTTGCTCTCTGGGGACCGACAAGGCCTTGTTGTTTTCATGACTCTGTCGGGAAAGAAGAGTTTGGAAGATGACGGGCTTTGGCAGCTACCGGCCATTGATCCTCACATCCGGAGCGTTTGTAGAACTTGCGGATATGAAGAATAGATTCACCGCAAGGTCGAGTCTGAGCGCTTGGCTATTTTGCCAGGGTTCCCTCGCTCTGAGGCAAAGCTTTAGTGGTCTCATGCCCGATGCTCGCTGAGCTGGACAGGCTTGAAGAGCTTGGTGGATGTATGGTTACTGCCGGTGCATTCCAGGTTGGCCATCAACGAACTCGGCTGATGGATAATGGTTAAATTTGCACTGCTGAGCAGGCTCTCGTCATAAATATCCTTGGGGCAGACAGGATGTTGCCACCAATAAAAAACAACTTTTCCCTACGCTTATAAGTGCGCTGACCCAAACATGTTGCAACTGGTTGTTGTTGACAGGAAGAACCGGGTGGAAATAGAGTGGTCTTCCCGCAGTGATGCCGGAGTTGTTGTCTATAACTTCCACCGTGGCACAAAGCCTCAACACACCACACGTTCGGTCACTCAAAGCACTGCACAATCTCTTGATCTTCATTCATTCCATTCACTTCAAATCCACCACTAATACATGACAACAGGGTATCCTTTCTTTGCTTCTCGCATGCTTGCTTCCATGCTCGCCAAGTCATCAAATCATGCCTCCTTTTTGAACACTTGTGCCCTCCCATCCCACCCGGCCCATATACATGTATCCAAAAACCATTATCATCCCAACCCAATAAAAAGAAAAACAAAAACTCGCTTATTTAAAATCCAAATGTCCATCCCTCAGGCGCTCTTGACACCCTTCTCCTCCTCAACACTATCCCCCGCACTCGTCGGCCTCGCCGCAGTCACCACACTCTGGTTCTGCCCAGCAACCGCCTCAGTAACATCCTCCACCTCCATCGGGAGCGTCAGGTTCAAGATCATGCAGATCATGGCCGTGACAGCAAAGCCAGTCTCCATGATGAGGGAGATGGCATCAAGGAAGCCCTGCAGGCCCTTGTCCTCGCCGCTGTAGCTGAAGACATTCTCAAAGTAGTTCGGCACAAGAGTAGCACCATAGCCGAGAGCAAGACCAGCAGTGAGGATGAATCTGTTGCGGCGGTTGAATGGCACACCCTTAGTGATAATGGCCATACCGGAAACGGCGACAGCGGTGAAAAGGAAGGTGGTCATGCCACCGAGGACGGCAGATGGAATAGCAACAAGGGAGGCGGCGAACTTGGCGAAGACACCCATGATGACAAGGAAGAAGCTATGGCAGGAGAGTCAGCATGGTGAGGGTCAGATCAGCGAGGGAAGAAAGGAGCTTACCAGCAGCAGTAACCGGCGCTTCTGTTGGCGCAGCGAGTCAAAGCAATAACACCATTGTTCTGGGCAAACGTGGTAACAGGAGTGATGGTGCAGAGGGCAGCCAGCATACCGTTGATACCATCAGCCAAGACACCACCCTGGATTCTGCTCTCGTAGAGCTTGCCCTCCACCTCGAGTCTGGAGACATCGCAAGTAGCGGTGATATCACCAATAGCCTCGCAAGCGCAGATGATGAACACAGCCATCAGCGGCAACACCAGCGGTCCATAAAGCGTAAGCTTGAAGGTCTTGACCCAGATGAAGGAGGCAACAGGCGCATTGTCGATACCGGCACGGTTGAAGTAGCCAGTGGCAGCAGCAATGATGCAGCCAGTCAAGAGACCAATAATGACAGAGGTAGACTTCATGATGGGAGAACCGAAACGCTCGCAGAGGATGATGGTAACGAAGACGCTGAAGCCGAGACCGAGGTACTCTGGCGAACCCCACGGCAGGGCGTTTGGCGCAGAAATATCGGGGCAGCGGGCAAAGAACTCGGCGGGGTTCTTCTCAGCGCAGAGACCAGAGCCACCGGCCCAGTTCTTGAAGCCGGACTCGATTAGGTGGATACCGATGAGCATGACGGTAGGGCCGGTGACTATTGGGGGGAAGATACGGAGCATGATCTTTGGTGGCATGAAGCTCAGGGCGATTTCGAGGAGGGCGCAAAGGGCAGCTGTGCCGAGAACAGCACCGTAGGCATCGGGGCAAGGGAGCTTGGCACCAAACTCATCCTTTTGGCAAAAGCCATTCTCGTACATCTGGTTGAAGGCACCGGTGGCAACGGGAATAATGGCGAACGAGATACCGACGACAGAGATCAGACCAGTGCCAATGTAGTAGGGAGTGCCCTTGATGTGCACACGGGTAATCTGGATAGCGGAGAGGAGACCGGAGACGATGAGGGCGGTAGAGACGAGGTACTGAGTTTGCTCGGTGGTGAGGTTGACACCGCCGGCGCCGGACATGATGATTGGAGGTGTGATGATACCAGCCAACATGGCAAGAGCGTGCTGGAAGCCGAGAATCAGGGCAAGGACGACGGGCATGCGGTCGTTGAGGCCGAAGAATGGTGGAGCCTTGTCGGATTTGGCCATGAAGGGGAGGTTCGGCCGGAAAAGGAATGCGTAGTCATAGTCGCCGATGAGACCATCCTTGGTAGTGAAGGTCTTTCTGATGGTATTGAGGCGATCGCCAAAGGTCTTCTTGGGCGTCTGCCCAGGGACAATCTGGGACGGACCTTGATCCTCATCCATGGTGGACGTTAAAGGCGGATGTGGACACCGGGGAGTTGAGGTTCAGATGACGTCTGAGATGGAGAAAGGAGGACCCGACAGATGCTGGGGTAGAAGAGAGTAGCTAGAGATGGAGTTGGGATGTCGAGAATGATGGTCCGGACTGTCAGAAAGACGTGCCAGGTCCCAGAACCTTAAATGTATGAACGGCTCAAGGGCGTGGTGTGTCGTGGTAGCAGATCTGTAAACCGGGTGGGCTGCCAAATGCTGCAAGGCCTTATCGGTGGAGGTGCACGAGTCCCACAAGCGGACAAGATCCTGGAGGCAGCGAAGTGGAGGTGTGGAACCCGGCAGGTCTCCAAGCTCCTCCAGCGTCCAAAGCGGCTAGGGTGTGCATATCCCCGCTGTCTACACATGCGACTTGTATCTCCTGGGAGTGTCACATTGGTTGCTGCTGCTGGTGTTGCTTCTGATGCTGCTACTGGTTCTCTGCCCTCTCCTTCAGCTCTCAGTCGGGCGGGGGGAACCGAGGGACCGCTCGCTCGGGGCCGGCAACCACCACAGCTCGTCCAACACCAAAGACTCCATCTCCAAGAAGAGTTAACTCCGCATAACCCCCGGGTTGGTGCGGGGCCGTTGGTCGGCGGGACCCTCCTGTCCAGCGTCCCCTCCACCCACGGGAACTCCATCGAGCACTAGTATTCTATCGATTCCGATATTAGGAACGACAAAGACACATTTTTTTCGCTCATGTCCGTTATGCCAGGCGGCGACAACAAGGAATAGTGCCTTGTGATGATCTGCTTCTGGATATCTCCTCGGTGTTGGTAGATAAGTTTAGGCGTATTCGTGTGTGCTCGAGAGAAATGTCATGCAAGTCATGTCCAATCTGGGACAACCGCCACGTGAGACGGCGAGGTTGATGATGCGGTTTGACATCTGAGGCGCACCACCACGAGGGAGCTTGGGCCAACGAGCTGGTGAAGCGATATCTGATTGACCTCGGTGTCGTTGACGGCTGGACGGATAGTAGGGGTCCTATGGACCAAGACCGCAAGCCGCTGATGACCCCAGCGTGGGGGTCTGTTAATCGTGGTACATCTGCCACTAAACGCGTCCTTCAGCACGTGCTCTTTGATATCGATCGGTATCTAGTCGGGAACTCCACGAAAAGCAGCCGCAAGACTAGAAAACTGACAGTGAAATTACCGGGGTAGAGGGACCATTGGAGCCGGCGCGCATGGGAGCAATTGTGATTGGTATGGTGAACGAGGATGCCGTTGAAGTGTTGAGCGTGGGTGTTGAGAGTGAAGTTCACGATGAAACAGGTAAATTCCCGGCCGTTGATTGGCCAGAGATTAAGTTTTAGCGTCTGATAACACCGTCAGAGGCGTTCTTCCAAAGGGTGTCCAAGCTCCCCCCGATAACGCTAGCCTCAGCTGCAACGGATAGTGGGATAAACACCCGAGGCAACCCCACTACCATGCCTTTAACGCCCCCCATCACAGCGTGGGACTCTGTCTCTTCCCCAAGCACGGGTTTGAGGCAAACAAAGCTGCCGGCGCTGACCTGCAAGAGCCGGCTAAGAAGGGGGCGGCGGCGCCCGCCGTTGGCTCGCAAGTCTCCGTCCGATTTAGAAAATACCAAGCCTCTTGGCAAAAACACCTTAATTGTTGTTTGAAGGGTTTTGACCACCAAACATGTCGATATGTTTGAAGGCTCAAAACATCTCCTAAAAAGGACAAACAAACGAATCGGATAGCGGTGGATCCCCCAGTACACAACAGCACGGACAAAAAGCCGTTACCGAATCACCGAATCCAATGACTTGCTTCTGCGCGCCTGGTGTCAGACTCAGTTGGGAAAGAAGTGGGGAGCAAGGTGGTTACGATGTGTCAGAGAATCCATACTGGCTTCAGCCTATTGCTGCCCACTGCCAGTCATTGATGGCGACATCTTTGCCTGTTGTGGGAATCCTGGGATAACAAGCACTGGTCATGCCAACTTTATCTCCATCTTCATCTGTATGATCGACGCCCGCTTCAACGGTTCGGACAGGGACGAGGGGGGGGCTGCCATGTGATGATGATCCTCTAGATAATCAAGGCTGGAGTCGCGGCACTTGCTCCGGTCTTGGCTGGGATAGGAAGGAGGATGGCTTGACAGCAATCATCGACAGGTTTTGGGCTGTCTGATTGGTCGGATTGGTGTGGATATCGATGAGAGGTTGGAGGTGGTGACGATGAAGGAAACGACCTTCCATGCTTTTGGTGTCTTGATGTCAGCCCAGTAGGAGGTGAACAACAATCATGATTGTCTGACGTGTTGAATACGAGGAACGAAATTCCGCTGTCATGATGACGGCAAACGAAGTGTGGAAGTCTGGGGCAAGGCACGCCGTTAAGCAGGTGGGGGAAGAGGAAAGAATATGGTAGGTAAGTCAAGTACCTAAGTAAACAATTTAGGGATGTTTGATGTGAGATGGATAATATGGATCAGGGTAAGACAAAGGATTGGGATCGTATTTTGTGTGGCAGTGAAAACCTTCCGTAGTTCGACAACAAACTAAGAGAGGTGCTTGATATCTTTATACTCTCAACCACCACCACCACACCTTACAACCGCCACGTGCCATTGTCGCTAATGCAGTGTCACTTCGCGTGCTTTGTACCTGCTTCTCACAATCATCCAGCCTATAACTAGAGAGTACCTCGCGGCAGATAAGGGTGGTCACTCGTCCATCCGTGGGCTGGCACTGCCTATCTGATAGATCTGATATGGCGATCTCCCACCATCCGCGAGGTACTCGGCATCAGCTTCCTAAGCTAAACCCAATGAGATGGAACCGGGCACGTCACTTATGCTGCATCCTGCAGATCCAAGGCACTTGTGACATGTTTCACTTCCACCGCAGCCCAAGGCTGCCAGCACCAACAGATAACATCCTGCACCTAACCCCCATCAACCTCCCTAATTCAGCACCGCCAAGGTATCAGCTACCAAGCGGACCCGGTCCGCAACAATGATATCCACCCCCGCCGCTACCTGTTTCTGTAAAGGTTGTTAGCTCAGCCCTATGATTACTCGATAGTTACTCACCCTCACCACCTCCGCTTGGTTATTCAGCTCCCCATAGGTAGCACACACCAGCCCTCCCTTCTTCTTCACATACCCCACCAACCTTGGGCTCAACAGCAACGCCTCACACGCAAAGACTATCCCAGTCAAATTCCACCGTCTGGCAAACCTCACAGCCACTTGAACACTAGCCGCTCTAACCTCCATGTCCGTCATGGGAATCTTGCCAGCATTCGTAATAAAAAACACCGGGTAAGCCTTTTGTTTCAGAGACAGAAGAATGCATATCTCTGGTGTGAACGAAGAAAGCACGATCTTCCTCTTGGAACCCTTCTTGTTGTGCTGCCGTATCGTATCAAGAGCAACATCAACAAAGGTGTTCAACTCGATAGCCACCGGAGTCACACCAGCATCGACCGCTTCGTGTAAACGAGGGTATTTGATCTCGATATCCAACCCTATCTCCTCCGGCAGTTGCGTCAGGATGTCCTTGAGAGTAGCAAATGAATCCTGGATGAATTCCCCCCTGGTGTTTGGCTTGAAACCTTTGAGCTTGAAATCAACCGTGTGCTTCATCCTGTCCCGGATCTGGATCGCCCCTGCCTCGAACTGTTCCCCCAGTGAGCGAGATCGTGGTCTGGCATTGCTACCTTCATCTTGGGAACGAGGCTTCCCAAGCATGGAAAGGGGATTTCCGTGCGGAGATTGGATTTTGCTCGCATGTAAAAACTGATCCAGCGTGAGATCGTGAACGGGGACATCGGTACCGGACTCGCTGAGGGAAAAGTCGTGGAAGCAGACTGCCTGCAGATCCCGGGTGACTTGGACGTCGAATTCGACAAAGGAGGCGCCGAGAGTGGCTGCTGAGAGGAAGGAGCCGACGGTATTTTCTCCTATTTGGAGGTGTTTGTTGGCGATGAGGTTTTGGCCGGTGCCTCGATGTCCAACGAGCAAAGGTGGCGAGGACACTGGCGTGAGCGCTGTTTTCCATTCTTCTGGTGTAGAAAATCCCTGTGGCCCCTGAAGATCATGGACATATGGTTTGGCAATGAGGAAGGTGAATGTGACTGTTCCGGCCACACTCATCGTCTCTTTGTCCAAGATGGGAACAGTCTGCTCGCGGATGAGACTCTGTCGTCCTGTTCCAAATTGATGGGAATTCCCCTCAAGAAGAGCGGTCCCGCTTCCAAGCAGGACATTTCCCTCAGGGGTGGCGCGGTAAACGTGGAATATCAACTGTGCTGCGACATCTGAAGAAATTGTAAAGATAAAGGGGTCGTTGATTTGATCGTCCAGGATGGGAAGCTGCACTTTCCGTCGGAGTTGGGACTTGTTTCCCACGGCTGATATGGTTAGGTAGAAAGAAGCAACGTCTTGGTTTGTTCCGGGGGTGTATACCGAGGAGCAGTAGCTCAAATCGACTTCCGTCACTACCCTGTCTTTCCTCGAACTCCCCAGCGTGGCAATAATGATCTGCTCACCCTCACTGCAGTGCTCAGGAGCGTAAACGGAGGGTCCAATTGGACTCTGTTCAGGTCCACCAGTCAGCCCATCGGTATCGGTGGTTTCAAAGAGACCAGCCACGGCGAGGTGCCCTTTGAAAACAGCGTACTCTTTGGCAGTCCACCCGAAATGATCCTTTTTGTGCTGATTCGACCCCGCCTCTAGCAGTAGTTGTACGATATCGAAGTGGCCGTCCACGGCGGCAAAGAAGAGCGGTGTCCAACCTCTTGATATGTCGGGAATGTCATGGTCGAGACCACTTTTGGTCAAAGCTTTGAGAAGAAGATTTGTGTAATCGAGCCGACCAAGTTGAGCGGCAACATGGAGGGCGTTTTCCCCACGGGCAGATAGATAGCGCAGGTTTTTTGAGTCTTGTACCAGAGCAAGAACCCGTTCGCCATCTTGATTCCTGATCGCCACCTGGAGAGGGTTCGCTGTTCTCGGCTTGTTGGGGAGAATTCCATCCTGGAGCCCATTCCCATTTTGCTGATTGTAAAGTTTCATTTGCCGTGAGTTTTTCCAGAAGCCAAATCTGCTGGGATCTTGGCTGCCAGCGTGACCATTTCGCTTAAGCTTTGTTATGATTCTTTCGATAGCGTCCACGTTGACTCTTCCAAACCACTGCAGTTTATCCAAATCTCCTTGCTGGAAGCTGTCGGTGTTGATTTCGTGTTGGTAGAAGGCTTTTAGAGCAGGAACGGCATTGTCTAAGTACTCATAGATGTCTGCGGACTGTTAATAATACGCTGTAAAGGGGCATGCTGTGGTACTTACCTGCGATGTTGCCCAGTTTGGCATGTTTCTTGAGCAAGTTATAGTCGACATAGTGCTCACTCCATTCCGGAACAAAATTCCGGTGATAATTCTGCCCAAACCTCATCTTGACGGTGGTAATGGGGATGGAAGTGGTGCTTTGTGATCGGGCCGGACCGTTGCTCATGTCGACGGGCAACCCGAAATCTCTGATTGGAACACCCGAAACAGGTCACGTGTGGTGTGTCTCCATCTGAGTTGGTTTCACGTCTTTTCAGCTGAATGGTGACCCTCTTGCATGGCCCTCGCAGCAGCAGCAGCAGCCTGGTCCAATGGATATTTGCTATCCCGACAGAAATGTGGCATTCGGGTAGCCCGTCTCCTGCCCACGTTGGCAACCCTGCAACATTTGACACCTGCTCATTGCATTTGAATTCATCGTCGACATGTAGCAAAACTCACAAGCCGGCTGTCATCACTTGCCATTTTCACTCCATGAGCACCCGACAAGACGTTTGACACAATCTCCTGTTCGATTCCATGCCACTTGACATCGGTGCCAAGAACATTCCATTTCCATCACCACGGATCTTTCGACAGCACACAACCAATAGTCATGGACCCCTTATCCCTCGCTGCCAGTATCATCACGGTGGCTAGCCTTGCAGCCTCTACCTGCTCAGCCATCTCTGAATTGCGCTCACTTTGCAAATGCCTCCCGGGGCGCATCCATGCCATAGGGAACGAGGTGGCCGATCTCGAGGTCGTTCTTTCACAGGTCGCCACACTCCTGAAGGAGCGGTCCAATCTTCTGGGCTCACAGCAGACCATAAGCTCCATTCCTCATTTATTGGTTCAGGCACGACTCAAACTAAACCAACTCGCATCCATCGTTGAGCGGCTCACCGCGGCATCGTCGGAATACAAGATCCCCGTTCTCAAAGCCGGCATATGGCTCAAAGAGCAGGGCCGTCTTCAAACCCTGCAAGAAGACATTCGAACAGTCAAGTCTAGTTTGAACATTCTTCTTGGAGCCTCCAACTCGTATGATTATTGGATCCATCTATTCTAGGGCAACACTGATTTGCATCTCCTGACACAGACAAGACATGGTTAAGATTCGACTTGATATACAAGAAATATCATCACTCACCACCAGATCCTCCATTCAATCCACACAAGAGCATCTTGCTATGAGCAAGGCGTTTATGAGCACAATGGCAGGCATTGACGAGCGTGTTGCCCGTGTTGAGGCGCTCATCAGGGCGCAGACAGAACTGGTTCATGAACGACAGTTTTCGCAGATTGGTTCAACATACCAGGGCCTCGCGAGAACTACAAAACGACAGACAATCTCGAAATTGGAAAAGAAAACAGCGACAGTATGCTCCGAAGACACCATCGGTGTTCGTGTTCGACCTTTCGTTGCAACATGCCACACCGGCTGCCGATGCTGTTGCCACACTCAGCAGCGTTCTGCAACGCCAGCAATTCTAAACAATTTGTTGGGAAGATTGTTTCTTGGGTATTCTGGACTACCACTTCTTAGTTCAAAGTGCGACAGCGAAGAATGCCGCGGTGCTCGCGCCAGGCAAGTCAGCATGGAATACTGGTTTCCCATGTCACTGTGGTCCACCATCATCAGACTCCAAGTCATGACAAGCCTCAACGGAGGACCATCACTGAATCTCGATTCTTTCAGAAGAATACCCGACTCTTCTCAGGCCGTTGATTTTGCTCAAAAGGGTAACACACGGGGGTTGCAGTATCTCTTCAATAATGGACTTGCTTCCCCACGAGATGTCAGCACAAGCCGCGGCTACACTCTGCTGAGATGGGCCTTGTATGCGAAGCAGTACGAAACCGTCAAGTTTCTTGTTCACGCTGGCGCGGACGCCGATTACCGACCGATATCCGAATTCGACAATAGTCCAAGACTCAAGGCGTGTCATTTCCTGCTGGAAGGTGGGCTATCTGAGGTGGCAACAGAAGCTCTCAGGACAATTACACGGGGAAGTTATTTTCTCGACGACTTCATCGAGGCGTCCAAGTTTACGCAAATTCACAAGATTGTCTTGGGGCTCTCGCTTCAGATACTGGAAGAGGAGCTTATTCGGAACCCTGGGGATATGAATGTTCAGGACTCCATGGGACGCACTCCGCTGGCGTGGGCTGCGGCCAAGGGTGATGTCCAGACAGTGGCCACGCTGCTCAGCTTTGGTGCCGACCCCAACATCATGGATGTCCAGATCTCTGGACCATTGTCCAATGCAGCAGCTCAGGGTCATACTGCATGCGTCGAACTTCTCCTTGAGGCAGGGGCAGATCCGGACCCTCTTCCCCCGAAAGGTGTCCAGAAAGGCAGCCCGCTTAGCGTCGCCTCGCGGAACAGCAAGGACGCTACTCTGCTAAAGAGATTGCTGGATTTCGGTGCTGATGTCAACACCCGTACGGTGGAAGGAAAGACGCCACTATTCCATGCGACAAGGAATGACAACGCCAGTTTTGCCATGCTACTTTTGGAGTACGGTGCTGACTTGAACGCCACGGCCATCACAGGGGAGACACCTCTCACGACGGCGATTACATACAACAGCCACAACGTCCTACGCCTCTTTCTCGATCGATGGTCAGAATACAGCGTCTGCCCTCGTCTCAAAGGGCCGAATCTCATCAAAATTGCGGCGTTGTACGGTGACGTGGGAACGATGGATATTCTGGCGAACGCGAGTCACTTTCGGTCAAACCATGACAAGGAGTATACACTCGGCGACTTCAAGGCTATTCTACGTCGAAGAGAGGATGTTATGGAGGAGCTGGTGTGGGCATTTGATGAACTTTTGAGTGTCATCAATGCGGCGCCGGATATGAGGAGGGGTGAGGAGGATTTGATGGAGGCTGGATTCTTTTCTTGCTTGGGTTCGAGGTCGAATACGTGGGAGGATGGTTTTTGGAGGAAGGAGGAGGACCTGGAGAGTGATGAGGAATCGGTAGAGAGCTTTCAGGATGCGGTTGAGAAATTGGAGGTTATTGCAGCAGCGGAGGTGGATTAGATGAGTAAAGATAGGATCATCAAACGCGTTGCTGTTTGTGCGTATCGTGGATTGTTGTGACCTGCTGTGAGCTACACTCGGCAAATGTCTTTGATGTCATTTGCGTGTTCTTCAGAGCTACACGAGCTAGATAACATCTCTCGTTTATTAGAGAGGCATATATATTATCGAAGAACATCAACTGCCACAAGAAAGAACGAAATAGGGGTACACGAAATCGCAAAGATGAAGCGCCGGTAATCTGGACAAGACTCAACATTTGTGCAGCACAGAAGCTAGAAAGTCTTGGCACATTACCCCTGAGTACCCCTGAACCCCCTGACCCACCTAGAACAACCTGATGGACAAAATCCCCAGGCATCTACTCCAACGGATCCCTCCAAGCCCTTGACTCCATGGCCTTCGCATACTCCTCATCAGTCTCCAAATCAAACTGAATCGGTCTCGTGATCGGCACGATGGGGGTATTGTTCTCCTCCAACTGCTTGAGCCTCGCAGCAGTGTTCGGCCTCGACTTGTTGATACTGTAGATTTTGACGCGGTGAGCAGAGGAAGTGACGTGCAAGTCCCAGTTCCTGATCTATCAGTCAGTACCAACCCCTCCACCATAATCGGGTTTTACTTACCAAGCACTCCTAACAAAAGTAGGCTGCGTATTCATCGCATTATCCCAGCACCTCACGCACATCTCCAACCACCCCTCCGCATCAACCGGCAAATCAACCCACCATGTCCTCCAGGCGTAAAAGAACTTGGTAGACATATTCTCCGCCGGGACCTCATACCAAATACTCCCCCCATCTCCACTAACTTCCACCCTCACCGGCCAGTGCCCTCCCCCAGAGTAAGCCCACCCCGCCAGCCTAACCCTCCCCTCATGCACAATATGATCCATATTTTTCGGCGTAATAATCGCCGAGCTAACCGGCATATCCTGAATGGAAAACCCATTACTGTACCTCGCATTCTGCTTCCCAATCTGCGGCGCATAATACAAATACTCCTTACGCTGCACCGGCGCCATGCTCGGCCGGTGAATAGCCCTGACTTTATACAGCCACTTGACGCTCCTCGCCCCAATATACCCAAACACCACCACCCTCACCGGGAACCCATGAATCTTCGGCAGCTGCTCCCCGTTCATATCCCACGCCAGCAGCACCTCATGCGCCTTGACCTTCCTCCACGGCACACTAACAACATAATTGTGCACCCCCCCCTTCTTAAAGTACGTATCCGCACCATAAAACTCGATATTATCCGCCCCCTTATCATCAACAAGACCACCACAATACTTGATAACCTTCTTAAGCGAAACCCCCGTCCATCTCGCAGTAGAGATAGCGCCCTCCCCCCACGGCGCGTTAATCAATTCGTCGCCATCGCCAGGGTACTCACGTATCTGCTCTATCCGACGAGTACCGCTGCATTGAAGCGTGACAATATTAGATTGCCTAGGAAAGATCCTTTCATCCTGAAGCTGCGCCAAAGTGAGTTTCCTCGGGTTCTTAACCAAACCGCCAATGTCAAGAGTCCATTTAGCGGGATCGATGTCAGGGATGCCGCCGTGGTTGCGGACAAAGTGGTCTTTGTTGTTTGTGAGTTCTGTTTTGATGAGGCGGTCGCCGGGGGGTTCACCATTGTAGGGAAACTGCAGGATGTGGGTCATGTCTGGAGACTTTTCTTGGAGGACGGTTTCCCAGCTGTGGTGGAAGATGTGGGATAGGCCCAAGGCGGAGTGGTATTGCTTCCAGCGCTCGCCCGTGAGGACGGGGTTGGTGGTTGGGAGGGGGATGAGTTGGAACTCGGGGGGCTAATGTGAATGGTGAGTGTGTGTTGAGGTGACCGCGGTCAGCTGCGAGAACTCACTTCGGGAAAATCATATCTCTTTAGGACTTCCTGAGCTTGCTTCTTCTTCTCGGGGAATTCCTCCCATTCGACATATCCCTTCCAACCCTCCTTCTCCTCAGCAAAGTGAGGTGTCTCCCCCTTTGGCCTGAAAGGCAGTGCGTTGGGTTCTGCGGGGGCCATGGGGATGTCTGCGTGGCCGGACGTGTGGGTTGAAACAAACTTTTGCTAAGGTATTTAGGAAAAGAAGGGGTGACTGCCGGGTTTGTAGTATTGAGCGGCCTATTTCTCCGATAATCATGATTGCTGTGTTTTACACGGTCCTGCAGGTGGCTGGGTGATTGTGGTGCAGGACGGTTACAGCAGCACATTTTGGTAATGTTGTCATTGGCACGTCATGCGTTTACACGCCATTATTACCATTATTTCCACGAACAACCTTTCGAGAACCGGATTCACCAGAACAAATAACTTCTTATCGGATTAATTTCGATTATCGTAAAGTAGTAATGGGTGGTGCAATCTGCGAGTATTTCAGAGTAGTGACGTCAATGACACCAAATTATCCACCGATGTTGATGATATGTCGATGATGCGTGGATGTGTGCGAGATGGTATATCAATCGAGTGCTAATCATTAAGTTGTGGCTGCAATAGCTGCTACTCCCAACAATCCTTTTGTACCACTATTATTGGAACGGCGGGAAAGAGGTTGAGAGCTTCAAGATGGCTCCAGTAAGTCAGACACCATGATAAAGGCAGGCCAGGTCCATGCTGATGGCAGTGCAAGGACGACGCCCCCATCGTTACATTGGCCGAGGGTACCTATGCATCTTCTATCACCTCTTCTGAGTAAGCACTCTATGTTGTGACACACAACTGACTGAGCACTGCCCAGGCCGGCCTGTCCATGACCCAACCGCGGCAACTGTTCTACGTGGTGAAAAGCCCAAGGGAGGGCAGCTATCACTTTTATCAGACACCCAGCTCATAGAGACCCTCGCCCACTTTCCTCGGGAGAGGATTCCTGAGAGGTAGGGCCGACCTCGCGCTCACCCATAGGCAGGCACTAACTGACATTTGCACAGAGTCGTACACGCCAAAGCCGCAGGAGCATGGGGTGAATTCGAGTGCACTCATGATGTATCAGACTTTACATCCGCTGCTTTTCTGAGCAAGGTGGGCAAGAAGACCAAGGTCCTCGCCCGCCTGTCGACAGTAGCCGGAGAGAAGGGGTCTTCAGACACCACCCGAGACATCCGCGGGTTCGCCCTCAAGATGTTTACCGAAGAAGGCAATTGGGATTTCGTCGGCAACGATCTTCCCGTCTTTTTCATCCGAGATCCCGTCAAATTCCCGAGTCTAAACCGCTCCCACAAACGTCATCCCCAAACCAACGTCCCTGACTCGACCATGTTCTGGGACTTTCACAACAACAACCAGGAAGGTGTCCACTGCCTCATGCAGCTCTTCGGAGGGCGCGGTATCCCCAAGTCTCTGCGCAACATCAACGGTTTCGGGAACCACACCTTCAAGTTCGGCAAGCCAGAAGACAGCACCTTCAAATATGTCAAGATCCATTTCAAGCCTGACGCTGGGATCCAGAACCTTGAGTCTGATGAAGCTCTCAAGTTGGCGGGAGAAGAGCCTGACTACCATATCAAGGACCTGTACAATGCCATTGAGAAGGGGGACTACCCCTCCTGGACGATGTACTTCCAGACCATGGATCCAAAGGAGGCGGAAACTTACCGCTGGAATGTTTTTGACATCACCCGCATCTGGCCACAGAAGGACTACCCGCTGAGACCCATTGGTAGGCTGACTCTCAACCGCAACCCCGACAACCACTTCCAGGATATTGAGCAGGCAGCCTTCAGTCCCAGCACGATGGTTCCTGGCATCGGCCCCAGTGCCGATCCCATGCTGCAAGCGAGAATGTTCAGCTATCCCGATGCAGCCAGATACCGCGTGGGTCCCAACTACCAACAGCTGCCATGCAACCGCGCCCAGTACGTCTATTCGCCGTACCAAAGAGACGGGCCGATGCGTGTGGACGGCAATTATGACGGTGATCCGGACTATGGTAAGTCCTCCACTTGACCACTCGACACAGAGCCTCGATGCTGACTGTCCCAGTCCGATCCTCCTTCCGCTCTCTTCGTCTCGGCCCAGCAGATATTGCCCACGATGAGTGGGTGGGCAAAGTCACTCAGTTCTCGTCGGAAGTCACAGACGAAGACTTTGAGCAGCCTCGTGATCTCTGGAAGATCTTTAAGAGCAACGGTGAAGACAAGGTCTTTGCCAAGAATGTTGCGGCCCATGTTGGCAAGGCTCTTCCTCAAGTACAGAAGGCGACGATCGAGATGTTTAATCGGGTTGACAGGGAGGTCGGGGAGGCGATACAGAAGGCTCTTGATGAGTTGGATAGCAAGGGCGGTGCGGGGATAGAGCATAGCAGTGCTCCTTGCTCCAAGGAGAAGAAGTAGTTGTGCCTGTCCATCAAGGTTCATCCAAAAATTAAAAATAAAAACCTCCACCAGGCACCAACCTCTCGGATTTCCCTGCAAACACTTCCGCACAGACCACTTTGCGACAACGTGGTGACTGCCCCACTTCCTCCTCACAACGTCACACAACATCTCCCCTCTGATTGGCCCCCCCGCTCACCATCCAACTCACCGACGACGGGCCACTCCCCCCCCAGCCTCCTCCTGCAGGTGTTGAAGATGTCGGATGCTGCTGGAGGGAAAAATCAGGATGCGGTGTCGTGTCAGCTGCGCCGCGTCGGGTGGGCGCGGCGTTTCTTGACAAATCGCGAGCAATCCTTTTTTTTTTACTCTTCCTCCCATCTTGCTGTTTCTATCCACGCAGCAACACAGACGTCAGAATAAGGTTGTTTGATGGTCCAACGGGTTCCTGCGCAACGCTCGAACGAACGGCTGGTAAACAAAAACACAGATTCGGCCCCACTGCCCTCCCGGTTTGTCGGGTCTGGTTTGCGAGACACACACACACACACACAGGCTCGACCCTGAATTCCTTTCGAGAGGAGAGACATACAGCGGTCGCTTGTCCCTAAGGACGTCATACGTGCACGATAACGAAAGACAGCTGCCTGACCTAAAGCACAAATCGCCAAAATGCTCTTCGCAATCATGTTCGCCCTTTGGCGCTTCATGGAGATATTGACCCTCGTACGCCCCCCTCCCTCCCGTCCTTCTACCATACATACATCCCTTTTCTGTACTGACAATCCCCTCCAGGTCCCCATCGTCGGCATGCTCTCCTACTTCGTCAACATCAACCTCTCCGCCAACCTCATGACCCCAACCTCCATCCTCGTCCTCTTCATCGTCTCCGTCCTCGCCCTCGCCTGGGCAGTTTTTACTCTTTTCTTCTACCACCGCTCCTCCAACAACGCCCAATTCGTCGGGTTCGTCGACCTCTGCCTCTTTGGCGCGCTCATCGCGGGCGTGTACTACCTCCGTGGGATCGCCAACGCAGATTGCTCCTCTGGGGCGATTTTGCGACAAAACGGGTGGCTGGTTGTCAGCGTTAACTTTGACAAGACCTGCGGGATGCTCAAGGCTTGCTTTGCGATGGGAATCATGAATGTTGTCTTCTTTTTTATCACGGCGGTGATGGCGTGGGTGCATGGGAGGCATACGGCGAGGGATGAGAAGGTTAGGTATGTGGAGACGAGGAGGGTGAGTAGGTCGAGGGGGGGGTCGAGGAGCTCGAGGAGGTCGAGGAGTTATTCTGGGAGCAGGGGGCATAGCCATCATCGGGCTTATGTTTGAGTGTGGGAGAGTTAAGGCTGGGGTGGGGGGGGGGTTACATGAGGTTTTTTTCTTGGAAATGGTGTGATGTTCAAGGGCAGGATATCTTACGAGTGATGGATTAATGTGTTTATATCAAGGCTCGAGGCTACGACGTGACGACCACTGAGTTTTGAGCGTTTGTAATTTGGGGAATTTTTTGATGTTGTGCTTGGCTTTTTAGGGATTGTATAGATTTGCCTCGACGGTGTGGTTGTTGATGAACAGGCTGGGAGTTGCGCTAGAAATGTCCCGATTTTGGTTGTTTGTATCCCCAATCCTTTTTATCTCTGTCGTCTGAAAAAGTCATCGGAACTTGTGTGCCAGTCAATAGCAGGAGCTTTGACACGAAAGATAGGTAGCCGCCCTGTGATATTTTGTGATGAACAGCTTGTGGTGCCCATCGGGGGTGGTTGGTGCAAAATGTCAAGACCGGCGGTTTGATGGGCACCAACGCAACCCCACACGGCCGTTCAACATCAAGGCCTCCAACTGTCATGAGTGAACGAAGCGATTGCTCCCAAGACATCTCTGTGTTTATTGTTTATTCTAGGGCTCTACAAATAAATATGACATCCTCCCCTTTTAGACGACTTCGCAACCGCTGCTCCCGCCACCACCATCTGGCTAAGGGGGGGGCCCTACCCCTCGTCTGCACGGTAATAAAACGCTTCAACACCTTAAAAACCTACCTAAAAAATCACTCCTTCGAAGGCGCCACCCCTAACAACCACTCAGCCTACTACCCCCCCTACCCCGCCCTCCAAGCCTACTGGACTACCTCCCAACTTCACTCG